TTTGTCCTGTTACTATTGAATTGTCTGCTATCTTTTTTTTTTTTTTGAGTTGGAGTCTCACTCCGTCGCTCAGGCTGGAGTGCAGTGGCACACTCATGGCTACTCCAGCATCGACCTGCTGGGCTTTGGCGATCCTTCTGAGTAGCCGGAACCACAGGCACGTGCTACCACGTCCGGCTAATTTTTTGATTGTTTGTAGAGATGAGATCTTGCCAAGTTGCCGAAGCTGTTCAGGCAATCCCCTCACCTCGGCCTCCCAAAGTGCTGGGATTGCAGGCTTGAGCCACCCACCCAGCCTGCTATCATTTTTGAAGAAGGTACACTCAACCTGCATATGGTATTCAAAAAATCGAGTTCAAAGGTACTTTATTCATGTATAAAGAACTGCTCTTTTGTCGTTAGTGCTCATCTGTTAAATGCGTAGAACATGAAGGAATCTCTCCTGGGGGTTGTATGTCTTAATTTGATGGATTTATTTACATTGTATGTAAGACAATATTGTAACAATAGTAATAGACATTTAAGGGGCTTATTTATCACATTTAGATGTGATCAAGAGTCTGCTCACTTTGGCGAAATGTGTTAGCTTGTTATAAGGGTCCTATTAATGCTATTCTAGAGGTGAATTGATAGATAGATTCTGTTAGCCCAAAGGTGTTAAAGTGCTTTTAAAGATATTAAAGATCAAGTGTCTTTTACAATACAAATAATATCTTAGGTTTGATCATATCAGAATAAAGTCCAGAAGGGCCAGTGTTCTAGAGACATTTTTGTTACCAATAACATACCAACCCAATCTAAATTAAGCACAAATGGAAATCTATTTTATACTAATATAAATGTATATTCATTGCTTTTTTTGAGATGACCATGTGGTTTTCCCCCATAAATAATCTGTGGGAATCATGGCTGAGACTCAAAAAAGACCGGAACAAGGAATTCGGGAATTGTTAGTTGCCATTTCCTATCTTCGCCCTCGCCTTCATTCTCGTTCGCCCTTGCCCTGTGTCATCTCCCTCTGATCTTTGTCTCTTTCAGCCTCTTTCTTTCTGAGGTTGTATGGTTTCTCTTCTCTGTCTTTGTTCATCTACTTCATTCTTCTTTCTACAGACTGGGTTTTTTATGTTTTATTTCTCTATGGGCTAAATATGGTCTTTGTAACCCAAACTTTATATGTTCTTGGCTTAGAAGTATACCATCTGCAGCTGACACTGTCTCTCCAGTCTCAGGGATGGGAAGGGTCTCGAGAATAAGACTCCATTGTCTAGCACAGTCATTGAATTGGCATCCTCTAGTCTAATCAGCTCTGCTCAGTTTATTTTTCAAGGCATGTGAACAAGGGTAATGCCCCTTTAATAAAGCAAAGGAAATATAGACTTATAATCTTTACCTCTTTTCAGAGAACTTGTTTGTTTTAAAATTCCACATGAATTTTGAAAGTTTACAAATAATATTCATAACTTCAGCTCATAAATCGAAATCTAGTCCATACTCTGTAATAAGTTCACAACGCATTAAAAGATTAAAAACCTTTTAAAGAAAACTATCGACCAGATTTCTAGTTAACAAATAAATGTGTGGTCATTTGTCCCTTTCATTCCTCATAGGAGGTGCTTTAACCATATATATGCCTCCAAGGATAATAATGATTTATAAATACCTGTAAAAATTGTAGAATTAAAGTAAGTTATACTTTTATTACAGATAAAATAACTTCATTGTTTTCATTATTAAGCAACTCTGTAAACACTAGCATTTAATTTTTTATCAAATTTCCAGGGAAAAGGGAATGCATTTTGATTATAGAATAATTTAGTAGTTTTCTAATGTTTGTTTAATATGAAGAATAATATGGTAAAAATAGTATTCTTTTATCACCAGAATTAATTTGTTTCTCTTATGAATCATGCATTTACCAAACATTTTTGAACATCCATTTATATAAGACATTGTACTTATTGCTGAGGATCACCTCAGTAATATATAAGTTTGAATTTGATCAAGATCCTCTCTTAAGGAACTTAAAATCTAATAATAGTCTCATCTGACACTGCCTACTTGATTATACATTAAACAATTTGGAAAGTAGTATATATAATAAGAGAAGTATAGGTAAATTTACATTTTTTTCATTGATGGTAGCAGCCTAGGAGAGAGTGTGTTGAAATTTCTCAAAGAAAACAGAATTTCATTTAGGAAAGTCCAGGATTAAGTTATACAGAAGTAGTCAATATGCAAAGAATATATTTTAAATAAGAACTGAAAGTCAGGAAAGCCAAGGGGTTTATTAAACTGTCAGAAGTTTTGATTAGTTAGTCCAAAATGTATAGAAAAGGCAAATAATGCAAATCTGAAAAGATAAGTTGGAGAAAATCTTGCTAGTCTCAGTTAGAGAGTTTAGTCTTTGTTCTCATAATACTTGGAAAGCCACTGAAAATTTTTGAGTTGGCAGGTAGCATGAACAGAATTCTGCTTTAGAGAGATAAATACTTCCTAGGAAACTACTTTCTCTTAGGAAATCAGTTACAGAAATGTGAATTCAGGTATATGTATAATATCTGGTATAACCATTTAGCAATATTCAACAAAATTAGCATTTTAAGGTTTCTGTAAAGATGGCTGATATCAAGACAGTATTTCTTACCTTCAAGCTAAAAAGATTTTAATTTGCCTGCTACCTATTCCCTAGATTATAGTCTCTGTCTGACCACCAGGATATGGAATTATTTTGGATCCCTCTCTTTTGTTCCTTTGTCACAGATATATTAATGTCTGTTAATTTTGTTTATATTGTTCACTTTCAAAGTGTCCTGGCTTGAGAAAAAAAAATGCAATGCTACTCTGGCTAAAGGAATACAGAAACTGTTTTCAGTTCTCAGGTTCCTCGAAATCAAGTTTTAGGCTAAGACATACACGTTTACAGTTAAAGTATAATGTGAGTTAACAATAAATGCCTAAGTACAAATGTCACAAAACAGTTCATGATTAATATGAGTGAAATGGACAATGATTTAAGTTAAGCTTTAAGTTTAGAAGGGGCAGCCTCAAGATAATCTGTTGAGAAGAGGCTGTTCACACTGACTTGCATATTGAAGGATTCTCCTCAGCCATTTCTTTTGTGGTCTTGCTGGTTTCCAGAACTCTTTTGGCACTTTTGAATAATAATTTTATATCCTATCCATTTCAGACCAGATGTCATTGTAGTTTTATATCAATTTACTCAACTATTCATCTTCCGGAAAATGATTTTTGCTACTAAGAAACAGATGAAAATGTTTACCCTAAGGTTGCAATCTCTATATACACAAGAAAAGGAAGGAACATGTTTTGTCTCCAAAACTATCAGACATGTGTTATTCTTCTGGCAACTTCTAAATGTATAGGTTAAGCCAGTCCTAACTATTTAATTACCACAGTTGAGGTATAACATTAAATGTAGCATTTTCCTTAATTGAAGCGATTTCTGTAACTTAGTGAAAATAATTTCTTTAGTGCTGAATGTTAAGCACTTTTGGTGACATCAAATCATGTTCACATAATTTAACAAGATGAATTGGGAGTTTCCATTACTATAATTGAATAATTTAGTGTGTTTCGTACCCAATTTCTAGGCCATTTTTAATTCTTAGAATGTCCACAATTTTAGGTTTTTCTTCTGTGATGAAGAAGAAACAAAGAAATAAAAGCTCAAGTTGTTTGGCAGCTTCTATTTTTCTATTGGTAAATGTTAATGATTGTACTTGTATGTTGCTAGGTGTAAATAGCCAATTTTCTGCTGTCAAATGTGAGAGAATAAAATATGATATTTCATGATGAGTTTTGCAGACACTTTCTAGAACAGTATGACAGCCTTCCTGGTAATGAAAAATTGGAGACAGAGTGATCAATTGTCTCAAATCCTTTTTCTTAGCCTTGTATTTGGTGGATGTACACACATATTTTGATCATCCAACCAGCATATATTTGAGAATTTACTGTGTGCTTTTAGCAGAAACTTTCTAGAAGACTCAGAAAATCTATGTAATATAGTTTATATTCTCAAAAACTTTACCATGATAAGCAAAAAACGACTCCGGTGTCATAATTTATTAGACAATTAAGAGTTAATTGGCACAGGTGTTCAGAAAGGAAGTACTCATCACGGCTTTAGGTAATCAAGGAAGACTTCTTAGAGGAGGGGATACTAGCACTGGATCTCAGAATCCAGAAAGGCAGAAAGAAAGGTTTCTTTGAACAGAGCACTATGTACAATAAACATGAACTTTGATCTGATTGGAGTAGAGGGTGTTTATTGGGGTATCCTGGAAGATAGATTAGGATCAATTAGGTTTGATCAAATTATGAACATGAACCCAGAGTTTAATATCATCTTAAACAGTGTTAAAACTAGCTGAATAATTATTTTTCCTATGTACAAACTCTTCAAAGTTTTAAAAGGAACATTTAAACTTTAAAAAGAAATATTTGAATCTTCAAATCATTTTTTTATTTGTTAAATGTATTTGTAACTTAACTAGGGTGTTCTGTATAATTAGGCAGTACTTAAAATTAGAAAGGAAATATAATCAACTGCTTTGACAGTCAATGCTTTCGTATTCTGTTGTCTTTATATTCTAGGAACAAGTTTGGTAAAACCCATAGATTCAAAAATATTTGGTGAGCACCTTAGATATGGCAAGCAGTGAATATCAAACAAGATTCCCTGCCCTCATAGACCTTACAGTCTAGAGGAGTGGCAGGGAATGGGAAGTTGACAGAAAAATGGTCATTCAGGGAAGGAGGGGGTGTTTTGTAATTTTCAATAAGATGATCAGGGAAGAGTAACTAAAAGGAAGATGGTATTTCTTCAGAACCAATGAGCAAAAATTAATAATGAATATCTATGACATTTTTCTAAAAGCTTTGACAATTGATTTTTCTCATAAGAATTTATTTGCTGAGGTGTAAAAGGAAACAAAAATAGATACTCAATTCCATGTGCTCACCCAATGATTTTTCAGATGAATGCACTGGACACCCTTGGTCAGACTGCTTTGCATAGAGCTGCCCTAGCAGGTCACCTGCAGACCTGCCGCCTCCTGCTGAGCTATGGCTCTGATCCCTCCATTATCTCCTTACAAGGCTTCACAGCAGCACAAATGGGAAACGAAGCAGTGCAGCAGATTCTGAGCGGTGAGTTAACATACATCAGGTGTATTTTATGCTTTCGATTCCAATTTAGCTGAAATACACAGATAAACTTTACAGTGTTTTATTTGCCTGGAGGTTTTTTTTTAATGCCTTTTCTTGCATGCAGTTTAGCCTCTGACTTTCCCTATCTCCCGTTTTTTTGTAGGGTAAAGTAAGTGTCATGAGAAGGAGGCGAATACACTTTTTTTTTTTTTTAGTTTTGCATTGAAAACCTGATTCATGAATGTTATGATCAAAAGTGACTTAAACTCATATAAACACTGGAATTATGGTAGCTCTAAAATCTGTCAGAGAAAATTACAAATCATTCATGTGGTAATGACCTTCAATTAATGGTTCTTACATATGTAATATTCTGACCTGCTAAGAATTTTTAAATTCTTAACTTCATTGCACTGTTATAAAATTACCTTGTCTCCTCCTAATTTAAATATAACTGTAAAATCTTGCTCAATACTGCAGTGTCTGCTTAGTACAGTGTTAGATATTTTAATTGCCTGTGTTTATTCAGGAGATAAACACAAACTGATATGAAAATAGTCACTGGATTCCAAAGTCCCAGAATTAGAGGAAATAACATAGTCTACCTACTGAAAAAGTCATGAACTAGAAATTTAGTAAAGTTGACATTTTCCCAACATTATAATTTTGTCTGTGACTTATACCTGCTATCGAATGACATGACAAACTTCAGAAGAGTAAAATGTAGAAGGCTGCAGACTAGGGATCAGAGTTTTTGCTACTTTTTCCTTACTATAGTTCAGTAGTTCTTAATTCCATCAGGCACAGTGCCATCTTTCTATAAAGAATATTTTATCTCCTTTATTATTCAGAAATGAAATTCAGAGATAAAATGACCTAGCTATACAGGTACCTTCCCCCCAAAATCTCTGTGAAATACGCTAACTATATAAAGGGAAAATGACAGCATGTTACAATAAATAATTAATAATTGTTATATAATAGCTTGGGCATGACTACACTAAAAGACAAAAATTGACCCCACAAATTTCTAAAGGGGCCCCAAGAAGTGCATCCCAGTTGAGATTCACTGCTCTGTGCTAAAACAAGGAACCTTCTAAGGCTTATAGAGATTATATGTGTGTGTTGTTAGAACTGAATCAAAACTAAACAGTCTCATAAAACTGTTTGTACAACATTGTGAAACTATTGACAAGGATTTATTTTCCTTGTGCTAGTTCATTCTTAAATGGTGAGTCTTTTATTTCAGTCTTAGATGGTGATTTATAGGCAGTGAAGGAAAAGTCAGCTAGCATGTCTTCACTATCAGAATGCATAAGATCTACCCAAATAAATAAAACTTCCTGTTATAGGATGAACTATGAAAAATGTGATTTTGCTTCCTATTTCTATAGAACAATGGAATGTTTGCTTAAAGAAGATACTACTCCTCGCCTAGGAGATGTTTCTCCTTTCTCAGTAAATTCTAATAATTTCTAAAAGTTGTGAGTTTTAGTAAAACTTTCCTAAATGTTCTCTTTTTACTGAGAATCAATTAGTACTGAATTTTAAGTTCTGTAAGTTTTAACCATAAATCAGGCAAACATAGTGCATCAAAATTTCTAATAATACTGTGTATAATTTTTAGAGATAATTAACACAAGGAAAAATTTTGAGTAAAGAATTAGATTAGCTACATATAATGCTTTTTAAGTGTCTTCTAAATGAATGCAATTGAACTATATGAGTTCTGGGAAATATATAATTAAATACTGACTTACAAATGAAATATTTTTCTTTAATTATTTTGATAAATCTGCTTTAAAGTTGATTTTTGAAATAGGACAGTTTATAGATAATTCAGTGCTTAATTTAGAACATGCCAGAACATTTTTAGTTTAATTCTTTATTGATTTGAAAAACTAATACAAATAATAAAAATATATGATAAAATTTTGATCTTCTCAAGTTTTATTTTTTTTAAATGAAAAATGTTTCTTATTTGAAAGAGGTGTCACTTTTTAAACTAATATTTCTACCAGGGATTTTTTTTTTTTTTTGAGTTGGAGTCTCACTCTGTCGCCCAGACTGGAGTGCAGTGGCCACTCCCGGCCACCGCAGCCTCGACCTGCTGGGCTCTGGCGATCCTTCCGCCTCAGCCTTCCAAGTAGCTGGAATTACAGGCATGCGCTACCACGCCCGGCTGATTTTTTTATTTATTGTAGAGATGAGGTCTCGCCTGCCCAGGCGAGTCTTGAACCCGTGGGCTCAGGCAATCCACTCACCTCAGCCTCCCAAAGGCGCGGAATTACAGGCTGAGCCACCAAGCCCGGTGTCTACCAGGATTTTGAATCTGGCTATAGACTATGGACCATGCTCTAACTGAACTTTTCAGTTATACCTATCTTTATAATCTATTTTAATATCAGGTTATATCTGTAATGACTCCTGAAAGAATGCATCATACATGTAAGTGTGATTTTGTTCTGGATAACATGTTAAAGATTCATTTAAATACACTTGTTAATACTGAATTTGAGATCCACTTTAGAAACTTGCATTTTCAATTTCCAAGTCTGTACTTGCCAGATGTTTACATTAATAAAATTTTCATTGTATAAATATTTAGTCAAAATTAATATGAGTAGAGAAAACAAAATAAGCAGCTTTTTATGAATTTGTATTTTAAAGTATAATTTTAGAAGATTTGACTTCTTTCTTTAGATCTGCTTTGTCAAATATGGAGCCACTAGTTACATGTGACTACATTTAAATTAATTCAAACTAAATAAAATTGAAAATCTATTCATCAGTCACACTAGCCACATTTCAGGTACTCAATAATCACGTGTAACTGGTAGCTACCACATTAGACAGATAAACAGTATTTCCAGTGTCACAGATGGTTTTTTGGTCAGCACTTTTAGGTTAGATGTCCTGAATAAGCATTACTTTCACCTAATCATTTACACAGGTAAGTATTTGGGTGCTTATGATCGCTAAATTAAACATTGAAATTTGCATTTATAGTGGCACATTGAAATAAGCCACTGAGACCTGTTGCCCGTTCAGCAGTCTAATACTAACCAAAGTACACGTCTATAAGAGATTTTTATTTCTTAAATAGCAAACTGCTTTTCAGCCTTTTAAACTTTTTAAAAATTCTGATGAGCCAATATAAGATTGGACAAAAAATTAGAAGCCCATCTCCGGTCTTTGATTAATAGGTAAAGTCTTTATCTTCATGTTCTACAAAAAGCCATTGTACTTATAAATTTTACCTGTAATCCTAGCACTTTGGGAGGCCAAGGTGGGAAGATTGCTTGAGGCTAGCATGGGCAACATAATAGACCCTGTCACTCAAAAAATAAAAATAAATAAATAAAGAATTTTACTCATAGAGCACTTTGCATATCAGTTGCTCTTCTTTTGCCTATGCTCCCTTTTTAGCTTCATTTTTCATATTCCTTATTTTAATTTTGTACATTACTTTGTACAAAGTTCCTGGGATATATATAAGTCCTTTCATATAATACTTTGTTCACATTGTTTCTAAAAATGAATCTTTTCTAAGCCTGTTCAAGATTTATAATAGATGCAAAGCTCCACAATTTGTATAGTCATTAATCAATATTTTTAACTTCTTTACTTTCTCCTCTTTGACCAGGACTTAGAATTCCTTTCTCATAGTTCTCAGAAACATTCTTATATTTGCATAAAACTTCTTGCTTAATTGGAAAATTATACCCTTTAATAGTCAGTCTGCATCAAGATAGGTGTTCCAATTTCAGATAGTTCTTAGAATTCAAAAATGCAGCCATGTAATTGTATCCCTTGAATGCTAGAATCTGAAAGTATTCAGTTTGAACTCTATACATAAACAATTGACCTTTTATTTTGTTAAAATGCTAAACTAAAAATATTACTTATAGATATTGAGAGGATGTTTCAATAAGTTCTGTCAACTTCCAGCGTCACTGTCACAGAAACATACCTGCAGAGAATTTCTCACTTGTAAATGCAGTTATGTACATGCCCAATCAGAGACAATTGGAGACATGATAGAACAGAATAAGGGCAGCCAAAGAAAGAGCTAAGGTCTGACATTCACATTGACTTCTCTGTAAAATAGCTTGGCAATCAATCCAGCCAATGCTTTCTGAATCTTCTCCATTTGAAAGGTAATATAAGGATGAGTAAGATCTGATTCCATTCTTCAATAATGCCACAAACTAACAAATGTAATACAACTCTCTCATTTAAAGAATAATCGAAAACTGTACTTCATTATTTGAAACTCTTTCCTCCTTTTAATCTTAACATTTTATCTGCTAAGCATTTTGATGAAATAGTTTATCTTTCACTGAAGAATTATCATAACTTACTTTATAAAAGCTACTCTCTGAAACAAAGCACTTTAGACTAGAAGAACTTAAGCATTTCTTCTGAAATGTAAAACCTTTTCATAGCATCGCTTGATCTTCCCGCTTGGATAGTGGACTCAAAAAAGGTGTCTCTGCTCATAAGATAATGCAGCCTTAATTATGAAAGAGGATTTCCATCTCTCAGTTTAGAAGTATAAAAATTAAGCCATAACCCAATTTGTTCAACATGACAGATAATAGAACCCAGTCTAAAATTTGGGCTTCCATCCTTTTGTGTTATGTGTGTGCTCATTATAAAAACCATACTTAATGTTCATACACATACTTTAGTTGATATATTATACATTGTTTTCTTTAAAAACCTATTTGAACCAATATGAAATGAATTTGGGGCTTATTTGTATTAGATTATCCAAATACCTCATTTGTTAGCCTCTAGACTTTGCAGCCTGATTTAATTATAATCTGTTTAGAATTGGTATTATGCCTTCCAGTTATACAGACATTTTAAATTGCACTTCCCTGAAGTCATTCAATAAATATGAATTAAACAAATGCCTGTATTTAGTAGAACTTTTTGTTCGAAAGTTGATTATACTTTCTAAGATCATTTTAATTTCAGGAATAATATTTCTGTTTTATATTGAGGACATTGAGGCTAAAAGAAAAATCAAACATTTACTGACAGGTAACTTCCTTAGGTTTACATAAGAAATCTCTGCAAAGCATTGCTACACTTTGTAAACCAAACCAAACCAAACAATTTTCCCTCTTTTACTTTGTGATTCCTCAAGAACCAATGGTAACCTTTTCTCTCTCTTATGCAGAGAGTACACCTATACGCACTTCTGATGTTGACTATCGACTCTTAGAGGCCTCTAAAGCTGGAGACTTGGAAACTGTGAAGGTAAGTCAGTGCTCTTAGTATCGGTGGTGACTCTGTTGAACTTTGCTGACCAATTCATTTTTAAACTTCTAAGTACGACTACTCAAATACAGAAAATAAAAAGGATGGGCAGAGTAGATTAATAGGAAAAATCTTTACTACTAAGGATTTCCCAGTATATGCTTTATAGCCATTAAACCATTAAAACATATGCTATATATGTGCTTTACTCATTTTTCTTCAGCTTACATGAAATGCTTTTACTATCACCTATATTTATTAAAATATTATTATTTTTGTCCACATTCATACATATGTAAACCAGTTCAAGTCCAGGTATTAGCAGGATGATATTTGAAATTAACTTTCTTGATCTTTTTCATAAGTTCACAGATTTATTCTAGGAAAGCATTCTTATGATTCTTCAAACATTGAAATTTTTCATATGCAGAAGATGAATTTTCTTTTCTATGTAACTCTATTTACCAAGAATATATTATTACTCTTTATTTGTATTATAGAAACAATGATTTAGGCTTTTTTTTTCAAATATAAAATCATATTCTAATATTGCATATACTTTTTTAAGAAACACACTTTTCATCTATAATCATTCATTTAAGGGAGACTAACAAAAAGGTAAATGGTTTTTGTTTTCATTTGGGTATTGATCTTTTGTTTTTGTATATTTATTTTTTCTTTTTCTAAGATATGGGATCTTGCTGTGTTGCCCAGGTTGACCTTAAACTCCTGGTCTCTAGTGATCCTCCTGCCTCAGTCTGCCACCTATCCAAGTATCAGGGACTACAGGCATGCACCACCATACTCAACTTTGTTTTTATTTATTTATTTTTTTTAAATTAATTGGAAAATTGGTATTGATAGTCATGATCCTTTTTACAAACTAAACTTTGTCATTTCTTATTAAGCAAACTGTGTGAATTTTAGCAAACTAACTTTAGCACTCTTGATGACAAATACCAGTTGAAAATGATAGTAAGTACATTCTAATCACTGTTGCCTAAAAATTTTATTTTCATTTTAACATGTGGGTACTTCCAGGATCTCTTCCACCTTATAATATCATTTAAGTTGTTTAAAGAAAAGTAGTCAATTTTAGTTGCAATAGCCACTGAGGAAACAAAATTTCAGATTTCTTAGATCTAAAACTATATAATAATTTTTCTTTAAAATACTTTATTGTTTGAAATGTACTCTAATAAGATAAAATCCTTAAATATAAAATTATTAGAATTCATTTTAGAGCCTAATCTTCTCAGTACTAGAATTGCTACATATGCAGTTATAATTAAATTAAGATATGTTTTATTTTTAAAACAGTTTTAAAACATATAGTTTGAAATGTATAGTTTTAAATTTCGTACGTTTTATATATGATAGACAAATGTATATTATAGCTTTCAGATTTCTTAAACAATCCATTCACAGTGAAGACTAATTTTTTTTTTCTATCAGGATGGAAGTTACAAAATAAAACAAAGTGTCACAAGTTTAAGTGAGAATTAGGCCTGGTAAATTTCTTCCCCAAGAAACTTTAGATAGTATTAGAAGTTAAATATTAGAAGAAAAGGCTGTCTGCTGAATAAAACATTTGAAATTATGAAAAGTAGGTAGGAAGAATATAAAATTACCTTGGCATTTAAAAAGAAAGTGAAATAGAATAAAGAACTTCCAAATATTAAAAAATAAAATATTTAACAAGCAGAATAAAAATTCCTGTGACCTTGCAAAATGAGTTTTGTTTCATTCACTGCCTCATCCCTATTTTGCCAGTATCCTCTACGAAAAAAAAAAAAATAATAAATTTAATTTAGAATGTAAGAACCAGGAAAAAAGAGGAGCTTTAGGAAACAGCTTTAATCATGTAAGACTCCATAAAAGTGTTTACTACCAACTTTTTCAGCCTTTCTTTTTAGTTTATATATTAACTCATTTGTATTAAAATTCTATTTATTTTTCAATTATATTATGTGTATGTTAATATAGCCACAGATTCCCTTGTCTTGAAAAGATAAGATAGCTTACCTGGCCAGATGACAGTGACTCTTCAGATTTTAGAGCCTGGTGCTTTTCCACATAGAGTTGAGATTGTAGTCTCTCTCTTACGTCCAGCATCACCTGAAATGCCCTTGTTTTTGTCCTACCAGTGTGAAACCTCCTTGTTTTGGTTCATCTGTGCTCCTATAACAAAATACCATAGACTAGGTAATTTATGAACAATGGAAATTTCTTTCTCACTGTTCAGGAGACTGGGAAGTCCAAGATACAGGTAGTGACTGCTTCGGTGTCTGGGGCCTGGTCTCTCTGTTTCCAAGATGATGCCCTGTTGCTGCTTTTTACAGAGGAGACAGATGCTGCATCCTCACATGGCAGAACGCAGAAGGGCAAAAAGGGCTGAATGCTGTGTGAAACCTCTTTTATAAGGATCTTAATCCCATTCACAGGGGAGAAACCATCATGACCTAATCACCTCTGAAAAGACCCTACCTCTTAATGCTATTGCGTTAAAGATTAAATTTCAATCTAAATTTTGGAGGGATACAAACATTCAAACAATAGCACCCCTACTCAGCATATCAGTAGGAATGGAGGTCTTCCAGGTATTTAGTTTTTAATATAATAATAGTTCATTACAGTGGCAGGCGCGGCAGCAAGATTCCCAGGTGATTGCCTGGGAAGTCCCTGCATCATACCTTGTGGCCTACAGAATGCCACTATTTTCTTTGCTTTATTGCCTTTTCTAATTTTCATTACTTACTTCTTACCACTTCCCTAAAGTTGAGTAATTAAGTGAGCAAATATCAAGAGATTAAAAATCAGTAAAACAGTGTTTAGGTATTGATTCTCTCCCTTACCCACTGTTTAAAAAGATAAATTACTTAACCTCTCTGAGATTACTTATTAGTAAAAGATAATGATCAACTTCATAGATAGTAATTTCCTCACTGAAAGAATATAATGTTCTTTATAAACTGCAAATTATTATTCAAATATTATTATTACTTACTTATTGAAACCAGTTATGCAGCCTTTCATTTCTCACTTTGTATCCTGCTGCTTTGCAAACAAATTGAGCTTACTATTTAGATTGTGCTGAAATGGTGGCATTCAATGAGAGAAAAGGATATGGTATTAATATCATTATAAGAATAAAAGAAAATAAAAAAGAATCAGTGAAAGAAAAGGAGATAGATATTTAGGGGGTATCTTTGAAGAAGATGAAAGTAAAGGCCAAAAACTAGAGTGTGATTAAAATCAGTTTGACTTTTAAGTTAAACAAATGTACCCAGAAAATCAAGTAAAGCACTGTTACCTACATGGCTTTGCTACAGTGGGTCAAAGGGCCAAGTGAGTGACCCAAGCAGAAAAATAATTTTTCCAGAACCTTTGTGCTTGAACCACATTAGAAAAGATAACTCTAGATCTGATCAACTGGGGTTGATTTTATTTGAGCAAAGAATGACTAAAAGCATACTAGTAGTACAAGCAGATATTCTGTGACAAGCAGTCTCAGGGAGACAGGAGTCATAAAGATGAATCAGCAAGGCATCCTTTGCCTTGGAAATTCCAGCTTTCCTGTGGGTTTTTCCATTTGATTAGGGTTTGGGTCAGGAAATGCTGAAAAAGATCAAACTGCTCTGTACTTAGAGTATCTATAGTTGCTATAAAGCCAAGCATAGTGCTGCTTTTTAAACATCATTTGTATTATCTAATCTTTGGAAATACATACTCATTAGAAAATTATAATTTATTGAAGATGCCGCACTATTTTGGAGCAAAATCTATGAATAAATATCAATGTTCTTTTTTTTGTTTGTCTCTGTGTGCACCACAAAAGCAACTTTGCAGCCCTCAAAATGTGAATTGCAGAGATTTAGAGGGCCGTCATTCTACACCCCTACACTTTGCGGCAGGCTATAATCGTGTGTCTGTTGTGGAGTACCTTCTACACCACGGTGCCGATGTCCATGCCAAAGACAAAGGGTATGTGTTAGAATTTAGCTGTTTGGGATTTGTTGTCTTCCTACTTCAAAACATTTAAAATATTTTTAACGTCTTAGATTTTTCCCATATTAAAAAGTAATGCATGTTTTTTGTTTAAATTAAAACATTACAGAAATATATAGTATAGAAAGCAAAAACTCCCTGCCAGCCTGTCCTCTAGCAATACAACATTAAAATTTTGTATGTAATCCTCCAGATATTTTAAGAGTGTATACTAGTGTGTCTACTGTACTGTAGTGGTAGCTGTTAACACAACCATGGTGCCATTCTATACAATCTGCTTTGCAATTTACTCTGTCACCCACCAGTATATCTAGAATGTCCCCCTGTCAGTTTATCTCATCCTTTTAATACCCTTGTATGGTATTTTGTTGCATTATATGAATGTTCTTATATAGTTTATAATTTATTGTTTATCCCCTTTTTTGCTATTAAAAATGTAAAATATATTCCAAAAAGAAACCATCCATCCCAAAGTCATCGGTGTTAATAGAAACAAAATTTTATTTTTACTAGTTCAAATATTCTATATTTTATATTAGTTTGCTAATACAGTTACTTGAATTTATCTAGATAAAACTTAAAGTAGTCATGGAAGCTACTTAGAAATATGAAAAGAGAATTTTAAATGAAATGAGTTTCCATGCTCTGAGTTAATTTCATATCATCTCAAAATAAGCCAGCACTTTTCTGTGCAATTACATAGCAGAGTGTAGTAGAATTAAACTTAACAATTTCAGATTCAGTTAACCATTATGTATTTATTTATCTTTTTAAGAGGACACATCAGACATGAATATTCAATAACATCACTAGCTCATTCGTTGCATTGTAATACATTGGAGAGCAATCAACATTTGTTTTTATAGCCTATTTTAGCATGTAGCAGATTTCATCACAAAACCAAAAATAGGGCACTGATCTCTCTAAATAAAAAGGTGCTAGATACTTTGTTTTTGTCCTGTCTTATGTGCACATTAAGCTTATTCTTTTGATGCACTCTTTTCTGTGGGGCATCTTTTTGCTCTTTTATAGTATCAACTGCCTACTAATCAGAGCATTGTCATCTCAGAGTAGTTTGCTCACTTCTTATCTGACTAGAATTTGTAATTGATGTCATCATTTTTCTTACTGAATACTTTTCTGAACCACTTGAATTGTGAGTTTTCATTGCTTGACATCTTAATCCTGTGCCTAGAAATCACTGAATCATTATCTTTAAAAAACAAAAGGTAGATTGCCTAAATAAGTAAATTGAATCACATTATGTATTTTTAAGTAAGCATACAGTTTTCATTCGTAAAACTTGAATGGAAGAAAATCTGAGATATGATAACCCAATTATTTTTAGTTATATCTGAAATCACTTTGTAATGCTACTCTCTACATTGCCAGTGTGAAAATTTAAACTAAAAGTATTGTGATGGTGTCTGTAGCCACACCACCCTGAATGCGCCTGGTCTAGTCTGATCTTGGAAGCTAGAAAGTATTGTGATGGAGTCTTTTTCTATGGGTCTATTTAAGGCATCTATTTTAAGGCATAAAGATTGCTGTGACATATATATCCTTCCCCAAGAAACATAGGAAGAGTCCTTACATTGAAAGGACATTTTTGAAATTATTAAACCTTATTTAGAAATGGATGACTCTATCTTAAAGACCAGAGGGGAATTATTTCTTTTTTGCACGGTGTTCAGTATAGTCAATGCCATAGAAGAATGGTACTGTTTTTATTATAAGAATTATTTTAACTGAAAGAGAGTTTTATGACTTTAAAAAATTTTTCTTTTTAGTGGCTTGGTGCCCCTTCATAATGCCTGTTCATATGGACACTATGAGGTAGCTGAACTTTTAGTAAGGCATGGGGCTTCTGTCAATGTGGCGGACTTATGGAAATTTACCCCTCTACATGAAGCAGCAGCTAAAGGAAAATACGAAATCTGCAAGCTCCTCTTAAAAGTATGTAGTTTAAAAGATTATAAAATATAAAATAATTGTATTTATGTTTTGGTTACTGCTTGAAATGAAATTAGAGTGTTTTACTTTACAAAGAACAATAAGTGCTGTGGAGACTATCTTCTGTTTTACAGAAGACTGTTAATCTGTGGTATAATGATGCTTACATAGCTTTGAGTAGTGCCTGATGTAAATTTCTGAACTGATTTAATTAAGTTCATGTCATCAAGAGTCATCAAAGTAGGTTTTAGAAAGAGTGAAATAGTTTGTATTGCTTGTCTCATACTTACAGCATTACTACTGGAAAACAATTATACAGGGAAAAACAAGTTTTTCAATCAAATTGATTTTGTTTTCTTACTGACAATTTTGTTAATGAACTCATTCTTCATTCTCAAGCATTATTTAAGCATAATATCTTATTAAAACTTATTTTTATATGAAATTTGTATTAAAATATAAAGTAAAGCCGGGCTCGGTGGCTCAGCCTGTAATCCCGCGCCTTTGGGAGGCTGAGGTGAGTGGATTGCATGAGTCCGCGGGTTCGAGACCCGCCTGGGCAGCGAGACCTCATCTCTACAATAAATCAAAAAATCAGCCGGGCGTGGTAGCGCATGCCTGTAATTCCGGCTACTCGGAAGGCTGAGGCGGAAGGATCACCGGAGCCCAGCAGGTCGAGGCTGCGGTGGCCGGGAGCGGCCACTGCACTCCAGTCTGGGCGACAGAGTGAGACTCCAACTCAAAAAAAAAAAAAAATAAAATAAAATAAAATAAAATATAAAGTAATCTCTAAACAAAGTTGTTCATACAGATTTGGGGGTATATGTGAAATAGTAAAAACTAGTAGTTATATGAAACTAACAAGAATTTATGCTCATTTTAAGTTACAGTATATTAAAAATGACCAGACATGTATTTATGTGGTGTATTCTCTCTCTGTCTCTTTCTCTCTCTCCACCCCCACCGCCTTTTTTTTTTTTTGACTAGAGAAAAAAGTTGTTCTGGGTAGATATAAATAAAATTTGTCTCCCATCATTTTTATGATATGAGGTATGTTCTTAAGAGTCTTGAAAAAAACTCACAATCTGAGATTTGTTTTTATTATCACTGGTTGGTAAGAAACTTACCAACAATGAAACTTCCAGATCATGGTGAATCCATTTTCTAGCTTGGCTTATTGCTAATTTCCACCGTGGGCCAACAGCAGTCTGTATCAGACCCAGAATAAAAATTCTTGACTTTATTTATTTTATAGGTATTAGTGATTAAATTTTTTAAATCAAAGTAATTTTTCACACAGTTTTACCTAATTTCATGATAGGTAAACTTTTGATGGAAGTATTAAAAATATTACCAAACTTTTCTCTTACTAATGGTATTAAGAATTAAGTACTTTTTTCGCCTGTATCTTTGTCTTCTCTCTCCTTTTTCTTGATACCCACTGAGTGTTTTTATGTAATTGTGACTGGTCAAAGTTAACATGCAGGCTATTCTCAAATGAAAAAGAGATTTCCAGAGACAACTTGGAGTCTGAAGAAAAAGTGTATTATATATAGTATACTCTCTATACTTTATCATCACCATTGATCTGGAGGCTTTGATTGAGTAATAGAAAGCTGATCCAATATACTGCTAAGTAGAAAGTTTGCAAAGTAAGGCAGGATATTGTCTCTGTTTTTCAAAATGCATAGAGGATAGATATCTTTCCTCAGATGAACAGAGTGTATATTAAATAGGTAAGTGGATAAATATCCAGATACATACATATCATCTTACTTACTTACCTACCTACAGAAAAATACTACAGAAAATACAGACCCCATTTGGTTTTTCTTCTTTGTAGCATGGAGCAGATCCAACTAAAAAGAACAGAGATGGAAATACCCCTTTAGATTTGGTAAAAGAAGGAGACACAGATATTCAGGACTTACTCAGAGGGGATGCTGCCCTATTGGATGCTGCCAAGAAGGGCTGCCTGGCGAGAGTGCAGAAGCTTTGTACCCCGGAGAATATCAACTGCAGGGACACCCAGGGCCGAAATTCAACTCCTCTGCACTTGGCAGGTAAGCATCACTAGCGCCTCCCTATATCTCCTTTTCCTTTCTTAGATACCTCTGGCAGCCCACCAAAAGATGAAAACCATGCTGAGCATAAGAGGGACTACTTAGTAAAATACTTTAGATTGATGTAATTTTATTTAATTTCTTACTGTGAAGGCTCTCAAAATTATGTGATAATGGTATCAGCTTTTGAAATAAAAAGTGTTAAAACCTTAACATTTTCTGATCATTATTTGCATACATATATTTTTTTTTTTTTTTAAGCTGACATGTTTGCTTTTTTTTTTTTTTTTTAACTTCTAACAGCAGGCTACAATAACCTGGAAGTAGCTGAGTATCTTCTAGAGCATGGTGCAGATGTTAATGCCCAGGACAAGGGCGGTTTAATTCCTCTTCATAATGCAGCATCTTATGGGGTGAGCATGCTAAAGTTAAAATCTAGAAAACTTCCCTGACAATTTATTACTTTATTAAATGTGTACTATGCAGGAAATAAGTAGATACCTAACCAGTAACATAATTTAGCATAGTTTGAATCTTCTATTTTTTGTCTTCCTTTTTAAGCTTAACAGTCTTTAGGCCAACCATGCTTTTTATACCTTTTTGATCTCTCCACATTATCTAGCACAGTTATATGTTTATAATGGGTACTCAGTTTGTTGACACATATAATATTTCTTCACTCTACCTTAAGTAGCTATTAGAAACTGTAAAAGCCAGGAGGCTTCTATATTGGCATGGAAATTATGGTGACTTATATGTATCATCAGCATCTTAAAAATATTGAAGTAGCTGGGCACACTGGCATATGCCAATAGTCCCCACTATTCAGGAGGCTGAGGCAGGAGGATTGCTTGAGCCTAGGAGGTCAAGACCAGCCAGGGCAACAGTGGTATATATGGTTTCATAGAGTTCAAATTATTAGCTGAAATCTCACAATGAAAGTCCAGAGTCCTCCTTTCAAGAATCGTAATTGTAATAATCGGTTATAAGAGAAAGAGGAATCTACTGCAGTATCTTGGTGCCATTTGTCAGAACTGACTGACTAGAACTCACCAAGGCCTACTCAAGCCTGATGACTCACTGCAATAGAAGCAAGACAAATGCACATGTGCTTGACAATTCATCCACTTAATTCTTACTTGACTGTAAAAATCCACAGATGCCAGGCTGTACATGCCAGATTTTCTCACAGTTGGAGTGACTATTGATGAGGATGACTTCTAGATTTGCAAAAGCCTGATAAACTATAAATTAAAACCAAACAACCTACCTTGATCTTCATATTCTTTCTTCCTACTGTCTTCTCCCTTGCCCTTCATTGTGAGAAATCTACAGCTTCTCATTCTGCAAAGACCAATATTTCAGGGAGAGGACAAATCTTAGTAAGAATACTTTTTGGGAAAGCAAACAGTCAGTTTTGACTTGGGCAAACAGGAAAGAAAATTGTACTTCAAAGTATGATATAAATTAATTGAAAGTATCATATTTAGTAAGTATATTATTAGCACTGAAATAGTCTTGAAACTATAGTAAAATTGTCTTTCCGAGACGATTAATCTTTCATCAAAATTGTTAGAATTTTTCTTTTTTACCCTTCTTTTAAATAAGATTCTTAATTTTACTGAACAACAAATTTTTCTACCAAAGACCTGGCACACCAAATATTTGATGCTGACGTACTAGGCATACATTTATGTCTAATCCTTTTACCCTTAAGTTATTACTATACATGTTCATCCTTTAAAGATGAATTTTCATCACTTCTTAACAAGTTCCTTTTCTCTGTATTGTGTTCTAATCCCTTTGCTAAGCTTCAGTTAAGGGTTTCTAAAGCTGATGGGATCAGTAGAGCTTACATTAGAGTCTTTGTCTTCTCTGTAAACCTACTGAGTAAGGATAGGTGGTGGCCACAGAACTGTAACAGTGACCTGATCTACTAAAGCTTATGTTATGCTATCAATTGTGTGGACTACAGTAGTTCCCATACATTGTAAATATAAGGAAGTTCTGTCCCATCAGTCTTTACCTTTCACAGTCTTCATAATATCACACAGGATTAGAAAATAAAAATTTATAAAGTAAGTATTTAACCTTTTTATCCCCATTTTTCTGATGGAAAGTGTTGAAACATTACTTATTCCTTGTATGTGTCATTTGATGATCAGTGCAAGGAGAATACAGATTGCAGTGGTTCACTGTTGTGGCTAAAGAGTAATATATTGTGCAGGTCAACCTTGTCTTGTTTCATGGTCCTTTGCAGCTGTCTTGACATTAACTGGCAAGAAGTGTGATACAGTCTCCTGACCAGAAACCCACCGTTATATTTTTCATAAACTTATCTGATCATTATTCACAATTCCCACTCTCCTTTTCTAACTAGAATAGAGGCTTGTATATTCAAAGGAATTTGCCGAGCAGAAGAAATAATGAATACATTTTTTCACTAGCTCTCTTTATGTTATCCTTTTTGTTAAATCCCAACTGCTTAACTCTTTGTAAATGAAGAAAAACTTACTGAGTTGAAAATTGACCAAAAAATTCTCTACACTCTGTAAAGAGCATTTGTTAGAGGCTTTGATCAGCCTGGTTCATCCTATCCTGTACTGATTATTATGCAAATAAGCTAGATAATGTGTTTATAGCAGGTATTTTTACCTTGTTGCATGGGTGAATTGAGTCACTCTCAAAATCCTTCACGTACTGAACTTGCAGTTTCAAAAATCATATATCTGTGAGTTGATTACTATATACAGTTATTCACTAAAACCTTTACTTTGGTGGTTTCTTGACTTTTTTATTGACTTTTTTTTACACGTGCAACTCACTCCCCTCAGTCATCTCTCCCATTATACAACGCCAATTCTCAGTTGGCATCCTTCTGGTTGGGAGTCTCTGCTTTAATGCTATTTGTAAACCTATAATCTATTATCAGTAATCAGTCAATAACTATATCAAATCAGAATTTTTCATAATCTTAATTAACTGACTTAAAATGAGACCTAATGTTAACACAATATAAAAATTTTAAAAGTTGCTTTGTCTTCCCTTAACTACAGGGTAGGTACAATATGTTTTTGTTATCTGTAGATTTGGAAACTTATATGTCTTTCAAAAGTTCCTTTTTATTTATTCTCTATATATGTCTTAGCTGGATATTTTAATAAAATTAAAATAGGGCTCCAGACTGCATTTCTCTGTTAGGATGGCAGAACACTTGTTGTATTGTATTTATATGAATTTGATAATGCTTGAACTGACCTGGCCACATGTAGTCATTTTGTGGAGTTGATTTTTTTGTGTTACATTATCTGGAATAGAGGCTTGTATACTCAAAGGAATTTGTAGAGCAGTTGTGGATGTATGGTATTATCCAGTGATGTCTACTTAAATGACTTCTCCCAAATATACTCTCTCCCATTTTCAGCTTGCCAGGTACATGTTCCTGTGCTTTAGTCTACCAAGACCCTGTAGGCATCTGTGGTATAATAGATCCCTTAACTTGGGATCTGAACATCTGAGATCTAGTCTTTATTCTCTGTTCAATAACTCAGTAGTTCTCAGCAAGTGTTTTAATCTTTCTAATCCTTAGGTTTCTTGTTAGTAAAAGTTGGGTGCTAAGACCTTCTTTCCAGAGTATTGTAATGATTAAGTGAGACCATATGTGTGGAAAGTGCATTCTCTAAGGAGCTATAAAAAATGCAAGGTAATACTGTTATTATATGATTTACTTCCCACTGCTCATGTACTGAGCCGGTCAAAATAAGGGCTGTACGTCATTCCTATATCTCACAGCCTTAGGAATAATCTATATATTTGATGTCAGTATTAGTATTAAATAGACAGATTAATTGACTAACCTCATGATAAAATAATAATATGAGATATCTGGGAAATTGCATAAAGCTATTTACTTATACATTTATTTTTTGGTAATTATTTCTTGAAGCATAATTACCTATTTTATTCTGGAGAGCTCATTCTGCCCTCTCTGTGTCTTTGGGCCTTTTTTTTTTTTTTTTTTTTATATAAAAAGGATATCAGTTTTCCCAAATGAAGAAACAAACACAGTTTAAGAAGCTTAAAGTTCAAGTTTCATGAGTGCTAACATTAACAGTAATATGCTCTATTTTGTTGGGTGTTCTTGATATTATAATGCCTTGTATTATTTTTGAATGCATGTTTATACAAGTTGGTTAATTTTTCTGCTATTCAATAAATGTAAAACACTGTTATTACCACAAAGCATTCAATTTTCTTGTAAGAGTAAATCAATTGACTGATTAGTTTTCTCTTTCAACTTTTTCGTTTTCCAATGTCTTCTCTAAATTTGGGGGGATTTCATCAAATCATTGTAATAAAACCTCTATATAGTGAAATGGCTCTAACTGGAGCTCAAGCACATTTCTCCTCCCTCTACTTCCCACCTTTTTAATATTAAATTAAAGTCTTCCAGTATTTTTATGTTGTATTTGACATTTAAAGCATTTTGTGTTGCAGCTAGATTTTGAAACTATATTAAATTGGCTCTTTCTCCTGATAACATTCCAACAGAATTCAGTTTCTTTTCTAGACCTTCCAGTTCAATATTTTTTGCTCTTACATATGGTATTGAATATAACTGAGCTGCAGCTTATTTATTGCATTCCTCAGCCTTAAATTTTAGTTACTATTTTTGCCTCAGTGGTATAGCTGTTTAAAATAATTAAACTGCTTAAGAATTGTGTTTTTAGCCTACTTGTGTAGTAATATACTTCTTCCTGTTTATTGCTCTTTTAGACATTTGTCAACAAATTTAACAAGCATGTAATTGGCTTCTCCAAGCATAAACTATAAATTCAATATAAAGAAAGTTTAATAATACATACCAGATATACAATTCATTTTATATACACATATACAAACACGTAATTTTCCTTGGACTATCTAGTTTTGGAAACCTATGTAAATTAGTCTACCAAATTATATTCTTCTGCTAACAAATATGGGAGTAGAGTGAAATTAATTACCAGAAACACGGTTTAAATAGTTTATAACCTCACTAAGGAGAAGCTTGAAAGTATTCCATGCTTTTGGGTTAACCTAACAAAAATTGCTATCTTTTTTCAATATATATAGAGAGAAATTACTAAGTTTGGTTTTAAGTGATTTTGATATACCATAGATAGTACCTCTGTTTTAATCTTTTGTGTTAGAAAAATCTAAAAATAATAAAACTATAGAATCAATTTTAAATGATAGCATAACCTCCAAAAGATTACAAAGCATAGCTTGTTCTCAGAAGCCCTAGTCTGAATATGAGTATACTACTGCTTTTTATGGGGGGGAGGTCTTTATATTGTCAGAGCATATATGGAAGCTTTTCTTAGGAGTTGACTGATCTGTACTTGTCTTTTTAGATTTTCTTCATTTTGTTTTCTGAAATTACTATTCCTAAAATTAGTAAATATGAATATTTCACAAAAAGTGCCTGTTCTTTTTGAGGTGAGTGTCTTCCAGAGTGCAGAAAAGACTGTATCTTAAGGAAGATAACATAATGTGCCTTAAATTCCGTCTTGGGATCTTTTCTTCTTTATCTTCTTCATCTCTGCCTTTTCTAATAATTTCTACTTCAGAAAACTCAGTATGCTGTAGTCGGGCAACAGCATGAGTTAGAAATGTATCTTCAACAAATAATATGCTTTTGAGTTAATTATCAAAAGTGACTAAGTTATGCCAGGAAATATATCCATAAGGATTACTAATGTACCAATTGCACAAGATTATAGAATATTGGGGTTGAGTGATTTCAGGAACACTTTGGTGGTAACCAGCCTGCTATCTCTAAATGTGTTTATAAAAATGTCCGAGTAATTTTTCATAAAAAAGCCTAATAGTTGAATCAATATTACCTATGTGTGATTGATTTTCTTAGCTTATTTCATAAGGGCTTTTGGGAAGAAGCTGAAACCTTTTCCTGTACAGAACTCTTATTATTTGAGAGAACCTGCTGTCCTTAGAACTTTCTTCTACATTGATGTTTATAATCCTGCCCCTTCATAGTTCTTCTACAGTTCTTATTTCCCCATCTGTCCACTTTGAGGACACGTCTTTTACTCTGTTTTTCCAAAATACTGTTGTTCTGTAGGCTTTCTCCACTTGTGATTATGCTTCTGTGTTCCTTTTCTCAGTGAGCTCATTTATCAAGTAGCTACCACTATTAATTCAGTGTTTTGTTATGTAACCTCCCTAGAGTCCCTACCCCCCATGCTAGGCCCTTTATAAATATTCAGCAAATGGTTGGTTGGTTGCTGAGTGAGCAGAAGAGTAAGTGAATAAGTAAATGATGCCCTCTTATCTCTGTTCGAGCCTTTTCTGTCAAACCATTTACAGAACATTATTACACTGATCTATTACTTCAAAAGGTACCTACCCCAAGTGAACTCTATCTTTTTTATAGTTTCATACCTACTTAAACTTTTGTGATTCAACTTCTGTTAATACTTCTACCTTTATTTTTAAATCATCTAGATTCCTTTCAAAAATGTAGTCATTGTTGACTTGTCTATTTCTTCTTCTAGTTGTGAATTTGTCTTTCTAAACTCAATTTTTTCCTTTAAAATTTCTCCAGTTTAGCCCCTTTTTTCCATTTTTCTGTAACCATCACAGTTCAGGGTCTCATCACCTCATGCCCAAGTTATTAGTGTGTCTGCTGCTAACATTTCCTCTATTCCTAAATCATTTTGGACATGACAGACTAATTTTTGTCAAGTGTTGTTATACTGCTTTTTCAAACACGAGAGAAAAAACATTGAGAATCTTTGAGATGAGTAGTTCAATAAACAGATCAGATTGCAATAGATTAGAAGAGAAATGGAAAGACAAAAGCAGCAGTGTGAATAGAATGCGTGTTTTTTATCACTTGGCAGATAGATTATACCACTAATAGAAGACTTGGGTTCAGGTACTACTTTCACTTTACATATTCGTTTTAAAAATAGATCTGATTATATTAGATGGCTGACTCAAGAAAAAACTATAAAGAATTACAGTGTAAAAGAATAATTATGGAATTGAGATTTGGGAAGAAGCAAGAAAAGAGTCCAAAGTACAAATGGAAGGATGAAATACTCTTTTTTTTTTAGAAGAAACTTCTATTAAAAATAAAAATACAGATACAGAGAGAGTGAATTGTTAAATAAAAACAAGTATACATGATGGAGTTTTACCAGCTGATTTCATTCTTAACTCTTTGTGTCTTTGTATCCTTGTGTTTTTCTTTAGCATGTTGACATAGCAGCATTACTGATAAAATATAACACGTGTGTAAATGCAACAGATAAGTGGGCATTTACTCCTCTTCATGAAGCAGCCCAAAAAGGAAGGACACAGTTATGTGCCCTACTCCTAGCACATGGTGCAGATCCAACTATGAAGAACCAAGAAGGCCAGACACCTTTAGATCTGGCAACAGTAAGTCCTCATTTCAAATTTTCGGTATTATTTAATATACTTTTGGAGATGACATTAAATTATAGGGCCTAGCAGCCTTGCTTTTAATAATGCTTATTTTACTTACAAAGATTTCCTTCCAAAATTTTTTGAAGCTCATACTTTTTATATGAAAATGTAATTTAAAACACTGTTAAGGCAAACTAAACAGTAGGTTAACTTAATTTTTTTGCTGTACTTAGCCTGATAGGAAAACACAAATCATAGGAAAGCACATTTCTAGAGTCCATCCTCAAATTAATTCACTGTAGAAATATTTTCAAAACCAATAATTAAATTTTTGTTACTAAAATCAGGGAGTTACTGTATAGTCACAGTAATTTATAATTTTAAACTAGAAATGTTTTTTCAAGTTACATTCTGTTTCATTTATTTATTACTGAGTAACAAACTATATCAAAACATTTAGTGTCTTAAAATAATAATGATTTATAATTTCTTGTGATTCTATACATTGGCTAGGAGGTACTTATGCTGATCTCACCTGGGATCATTTATGCATGTAAATAGAATCTACGGAGGGCTTCATCTGGGACTTTGGCAGAGATGGCTAGAAGGATGAGGCCTCTCCTTTCTCGCATGGTCTCTCATCATTAAGAAATCTTGCTAGAATTTCTTTACAGAATTACCTCTTCTCAAGAAGGAGAAAGCAAAAGTTGCCATTGTTTTTTTAAGGTTAAGCCTGGAATTGACATGCTGTAACTTCCACCACATTCTGTTGTGTGAAGCAAATCATGAGAGCAGCCCAGATTCAAGGGTCAGATAAATAGATTACCTCTTCTTTGAAAGAAGAAACAAAATTTTGTGACCATCTTTAATCTACCACAGTCCTCCCTGTGGACACAAATTACTTACATTTCTCTCACATTCAAACTATATTCATGCTCCCACCTTCCACCCCCACAAGGGAGCAGATAGTCATCACTGGTTCATAGCAATCCTGAAATCCAGCCTGGCATGTGGATAAAATGTGTACAGTACAGGCATCTACTCTGGAGTCAGGGAGAGGTCCTTGATTAGGACCCAGTTCTGTTCTCAGAGTGGTTCTCTGTAAAACCACTGTGTCCTCTGACTCATCTTTCTCTTTACACTTACAGCTAAATGACTTTCTCTACCTGTTCCCTACTCCTAGAAATTTGGAGACCCTGAGCCTTTTTTCATTTTGATCTATCTGTCCCTTTCAGTTCAAACTGGCACAACTCCCTTATAAACTGTTGGATTTCCTATAAAGTTGTATGCCCTTCCATCAGACGAAAGCCTCACCCTCAAACCTATTCAAGATGGATCCCCATCTCATTGGATTGCAGGTCAAGGCACTGTGTGGGGTAATGCCCTTAAGATTCTTAGAAGCTGTTTACCTAGCTGAGAGAGTTCACAAGCTACCACCTTAAAAACTTCTAGGTAACATATCCATACCTCTCAGTTTATTTTTATTCTGAGGCCATTTTTCATTATCAGCACCCTTGATTTGTCTTTGGCCTGACGCTATTCCTTACTTTGAGAAACTTTTGCTAGTGGAGAAGCTGGGAGTGGTGAGTAATTTTATTTGCTAACCTAGAAAATCCTGGGTGAATGTATTTCCTTAAACCTGAACAGTTCCTTCCTTAGTTCATTTTTCTCACTGTACTTTATCATGGACAAATAAACACACCAATATAGTTGCCAGAGTCTGCATTCTTTCTGGAAATCTCCTTAGCCAAATCCACAAGGTTATTTAGGTTCATTTTCTGCCTTCCATAATACCTCGTGTGCTGGTGTTGCCAAACATTCTACTACACAGCATCAACCTCCCTTTCTGTAGCCTTCAATAGCACTTGCCTAAAGTCTCCACCAACAGTCACCAGGCCACCCTGCGTGCCTCCAGCCAAAGCTGCATATCCAGCAGCACCCACTTCATGGATCGGTTTGCATTTCATCTCTCTATTGCTGCACAACAAGCCATCCCAAAGCCTAGTGAGTGCTTAGCACAATTCGTGTTTTCTCACAGTTCTTGAGTTGATTGGGCTCAGCTAGACAATTCTGGCTGTATGGCTACTTTCCGCTGGAAGCTCAGCTGAGGCTAGAGCTTTCAGGGTGGCCTTTCATCCTGCAAGAATCTCTTTGCATGGTATCTGTCACTTGGTAGTTTAGCCCTAACTTCTGTACAGCGTGGCAGATGGCTTCTAAGAGAGTAAAAGTAGATACTGCCAATCTTTTTTTTTTTTTTGAGTTGGAGTCTCACTCTGTCACCCAGACTGGAGTGCAGTGGCCGCTCCCGGCCACCGCAGCCTCGACCTGCTGGGCTCCAGTGATCCTTCCGCCTCAGCCTTCCAAGTAGCCGGAATTACAGGCATGCGCTACCACACCCGGCTGATTTTTTGATTTATTGTAAAGATGCGGTCTCGCCAAGTTGCCCAGGCGGGTCTCGAACCCGTGGGTTCAGGCAATCCGCTCACCTCGGCCTCCCAAAGCGCTGGGATTACAGGCTGAGCCACCGAGCCCAGCCAATACTGCCAATCTTAACGCCTGGCTCAGGAGCTTCAGAATATTACTTCTGCATTCTACTGGACAAACTTACAAGGTAAACCGATCTCAAGGGGAGGAAGGAATTGATGACTGACTGCCTTTGGAGACTATCTCCTGCATTCTCTAACAGCAGTTGCATCTAATATTTACAGGAGTCCATGAATAAATGAACCAACTTAGAATGTTTGCTGGTGTTCACTGTACATTAAATTATTGTGTGTACTAAATAACCAAAGATGATTATAGTTGTTTGAGCATAAACAAAATGTAGTAAATAGGGAAATTCTTTCTAAAGAAGAGTGAGAATTAGCACTCTAAAAGTGCTTTTTTTAATGAAAGAAAAATTTTTTTTTTTAATTACATAGTTTCTTGAGTTTTACCTACTGAAACTACTAAGACAATGGATAGAAGAAGAATAGATAAAAAATCAATAGGAAATGATGAATCATTCATTAAGGAAAAAGTTCACAAAGCATTTGGTTCTTAATGAAAAACTTACCATTTAAAAAATATGGTATTTTTGTGTTTTGTTTTTTTTAATCCTTGCTTTTAGGCTGATGACATCAGAGCTCTGCTGATAGATGCCATGCCTCCAGAGGCCTTACCTACCTGTTTTAAACCTCAAGCTACTGTAGTGAGTGCCTCTCTGATTTCACCAGCATCCACCCCCTCCTGCCTTTCTGCTGCTAGCAGCATAGACAACCTCACTGGCCCTTTAGCAGAATTGGCGGTAGGAGGAGCCTCCAATGCAGGGGATGGTGCAGCTGGTGCAGAAAGGAAGGAAGGAGAAGGTGAGTAGACCCTGTGAATGTTATTTGTTTATATGTTTTTGTGATTTTTTTGTTTGTTTTTAATAGAACAGATTCACTTTTTTCTATTGGTAATTATTGAACACTTCACTTAGAGATATCCTGTCTGTAAATTTTCATACATACAACATCTTATAGTACTTTTTCATAGAAGACTGCCAAGTTCCTTGATATCTACATTGTTCTTATTTATGTATATTCTGGGACATACATTTCCAACCATAGTACCTTGTTGAACTGAGTGTTTTTTAAGTAAATTTTATTACTGAAATTACATTAGAAAGCAACTGAGAGGTCATTTAAAGAATGAAAACTAAAATAATAGCTGGTATGTTTGGATTTTTTTAATTCATTAAAAGTATTAGAGGCTGGGCACAGTGGCTCATGCCTGTAATCCAACACTTTGAGAAGTCAAGGCGGGAGGATCACTGGAAACCAGGAGTTTGAAACAAGTCTGGGCAACATAACAAGACCCCGTCTCTACAGAAAATTTTAAAAGTTATCCAAGTGTGGTTTCAGGTCCCTGTAGTCCTAGCTACTGGAAAGGCTAAGGCAGGAAGATCACTTGAGCCCAGGAGTTCAAGGTTATAGTGAGCCATGATCACACCACTGCACTCCAGCCTGGCGTCTGTCTGGGTGACAGAGCAAGAACCTGTCTCTTAAAAACAAAAAAGCAGCTGGGCTCGGTGGCTCAACCTGTAATCCCGTGCCTTTGGGGGGCTGAGGTGAGTGGATTGCCTGAGCCTGCGGGTTCAAGACCTGCCTCGGCAATTTGGCGAGACCTCATCTCTACAATAAATCAAAAATTAGCCGGGCGTGGTAGCGCGCGCCTGTAGTTCCAGCTACTTGGAAGGCTGAGGCAGAAGGATCGCCGGAGCCCAGCAGGTCGTGGCCGCGGTGGCCGGGAACGGCCACTGCACTCCAGTCTGGGCGACAGAGTGAGACTCCAACTCAAAAAAAAAAAAAAAAGCACTAGATTATTCAATTGTCTTGTATAAATAGCATTTTATAATATTAAAATTATATTATTATTAATACCATATTAATTATAATATTCTATACTTATATTGAATTACAATAATCTGTAATTCTGCATTCTAAATAATATAAGTAGTACTGATGTGGTAAAAATAAAGCACTCTGTTTTTACTTCTAAACCAGATTCAGAGATAACTTGAAGTGTCTGAATTAAATTTTCATGTGTTCTGCACTACTTTATGCTACATAAAATCTTTACAACCAAGGTTGTAAGGGAGCCATGGCTTCCAGTAGACACTGTAATTTCCTTTAGATTCATAAAATTCTTTCTGAGAAGCTTCATTATGTTTCTGTTTCAGTTGCGGGTCTTGACATGAATATCAGCCAGTTCCTAAAAAGCCTTGGCCTTGAACACCTGCGGGATATCTTTGAAACAGAACAGGTAAACTCTCTTGTATATATTTGAATTTTTTAAGTTAAATATTAAGTTATTAATTTCCACCCGCTCTGTCCCTTTTGCTTCTTAATTGCTATTTTCAAACACTTAGTACATTTCTTTTTTAAAAATTATTTTATTTTAAAGATGTGGGGTACAAGTCAGGATTGGGTACATAAGTGGTATATGTACAGGTGAAATCTGGGCCTCCCACTGGATCTCACTTCGCCCGGATTAGGATCAGACATCCTTATTGATATTATGTGCCTTCCCCCCGCCCCCCTGGCAGTGTTCCGCTACTGCCAATCCCTTTCTTGTAGTATTATGCTAGATTCCACAGTACATTTCTATAGAAGCCAGGGGAGCCCAGTGTTTTGTACTTCTCCCCAAATTTATTAACAGATGAGAGTCTTTAACCATTATTTTATTTTTGCAAGCAGTCCAGCTCTACACATTTTGTTACTTGTCAAAACTTAGACCATGAAACTACCTCAAAAGAAAGTTTTGAATTGTCTTTGTTTTGTTTCCAAAAAGTGTTGACATTTATTCATTTTATTTCATTACTGTCGTAACTCAACTCCTGAAGCAATTACCCATTAATTTAGAAAACAAAGTAATACTAAGATAATTGTATCTTCTAAAAATTTTGCCCCCTTATGATGTTTCTGTTGTCCACTTGGAGTCTAAAATATTATTGGACCAAAAATTGACCATACATTTAAATAGACCTGTCCTATTTTCAGATACTTCTTAAATGTCTAGGAAAGTCTTAAGTATGGGGTCATCATTAGGGCATTTATGAATTAGGATTCTTCTGTTTGTCATACTAGCTTTATACAGGATAATGAGTTTTTAAGTTCATATTGTATACTTTTATTACTATAATCATCATTAAACATTGAACAATAATAAATTCCTGAGTTTAAATTGACCATAATTGATATACATGGAACTTAGAATAGGAAAGGTGTGTAGAGATCATTAAGTAATTGTCCTACATGTAGGAATCACCTTTTAACATCCATGTTAGTCCTCTAGCTAGGAAAGATAACTTGTTACAATTTGGGACAGGTGTAATAGAATGCTTATAACTTAAAGTGTGCCAAAGTCTGCCCCTATATATAATCCATTTGTTTGGGGTTCACACTTGCCTTGTTTTACATAGAACCTAATCTCAAATCTACATGAAGTTTCATGGGGCTGTATTCCCTACAGGGGCTCTCAGGGAGATTGTGTTGCCTTTCCTCTTTCAGCCATGTTACTGGAACCTCTACTTCCATGCTTACGTTGCCTTCTCCTCTGTGTGTCTTTTATAAGGATTTTGGCTTTGAGTAGGACCTGTAAATCTTATCCTGGATCATCTGATCTTAAGATCCTTAAATTAATCACATCAGCAAACACCCTTTTTCCAAATAAGGTAACATTTATTATGTTCTTGGGGATTAACCATCGATGTATCTTTTTGAGGACTACTATTCAGCCCACTGTAACATAATGTAGCCCTTCATATCTTTTTAAGACTTAGTCAATTTATGGATGTTATCCTTTCAACTGCCTACCTCGAAATTTTTCTTCTATTTTAGAATAAAACTACCTATTTTAAAAGTTATTTATATTATATAGCTTTTAAGTTCCTCACTGGCCCATTACCTCATTCTGGCTTCTTTCTAGACTTACAGTCAGATTTGGAGTTAATTAAAAGCCCCTGATTGTTTTTCTTTTTTATATCAGTTATACTGTTAAGATTATCTTCTGCTTTTTCTTATTTTTTCAGCTTATTGCATTTATTTAATTTTTTATTTTGTAATTCATTTTTAGTGCTCTTAATGATTAAAACAGTTGAGTAGCAGCAACATTGGATTAAAAGATGGCCTTATTTCTAATTATTTTCACCCTCTTCCTGGCTGTGTTTAATGATCTAAAAGACATTTAACCCATCACTTCCCTTGCCTGTAAAATACAATACCTTCAAATATCTAGTTAAAATTCTCATATTGTGCTTCCTTGTCAGTTTTTAAAATCCAGTGAAGCATCAGGTGCTCCTTTTGTCTGGTGGTGAGGACTTTGTCATCGTTTTCTTTTCCTATCATTTATTCATCCTCTGGTTTGGCGATTTCTGATAAGATTATCTTAAACAGCAAGAATCCTTTTTCCTTATTCCCTAATTGGAGGAATGAAAGCTATTTTAAAAGCGTAATACTCTGCTATAGTCATAGTACAACCATATCCCATCTTCCCAAAACATATCCACAATAATTATGTAATTTCAAACAAATTGGAATTATTTACCTAACAAACCAAAGACCTTAATTCAAACAAATAATTCCAATTTACGTTGAAAGTTTTCCAAAGAACTTTAATTTCTCTTTCATCTGGTTTGCATTGTTATTTTTTCCCTTATATTGTGTATTCTGTTGTCAGTAACTGACTTCCTGTGGCATTTTTATCTCATTTTATTGATTTTAATAGTTTGGTCTCTCAGTCAGTCCTTCTGACAGCTTATCCTGGTTCCATCAGTTTCATTGTTTGTTTTTCACTGTAGTTTTGTTCTGAGTAAATGGTTTCATTGATTTTCTTTTGACTAGAATAATTTCTATATCCTTTTCTTGATCAATATGTTGACTACAGCATTTAATGTATATTACCAAGAACAGTTCCTTTCCTCTAGATAAATGATATTACCTTTCTTTGTATTGAACTGTGCTTGACTATCTTCTGGCCCAATCATCAAGCCATTAAATTTATTTTTTTTAATTGCAGATGTATTTATCTAGGCTTCAGTTATAGACTAATAAATTCGGTAATCCTTTTCAGAACATACCCTTAGAATTTTCTCCCATCAGTATTCTGTATCAGGCCACTAATACGTGATGATGATGGTCAGCATGTTTGTGTAGTAGAGGAGGAATGAGGATGGATGTATCATACCCACTTAATTCTTGTCTATTTAGCTTTAAACCAAGGAACTATTCTAGTTCCTGAGATGCTGTGACATAATTATATGTCTTACTGCCTGTTTCTACTCATGGATACAAGTCTCCCAGTGGGTGTAGAATATAGTTATTTTATTTTTGGTCTCAAGAAAACTTCCTTCAGGGCATCTTCAGTTACTCTCTGAAATCTCTGAACTAAATTGTCTCGTTTCCCATAGTCACTTTGCCATGTTCTCTGTTAAATGATATATAACTATATCTTTGTAGTTAATTAAAAATACTACCTGTGTGACTTCTACTCTTCCTTTATAACATATCTTCCTACCTTGAACACTTTTTTAATGAGAAAGATAGATTTGATTTACATTGTGATTTCTGGAACATACATGTTATGACTTGGGAGACTGCTTGTGGACAGATTTATGGAAAACCTATGTTTTCATGGAAAATGACCATATAAATGTTGATTTCAGATTCTTGAAGACAAAGGCATAGCCTCAAATAAATTCACTTTGAATATGATTATAAAGTTAGTTCTTATTACTGCCTGCAACCTTTTGGGCCCAAATAAAAGCATAGTCTTTTCCATTAAAACTCTAATTTTTTCCTCCCACTGTAAGTAAAATGAACAAGTCTTAGAAGCTACAGGCAGACCTTCTTACAGTGACATTTGCTCTATATTCAAGATGATTTAACTGATACATGAATAATCTTTATTCTTAAGTTTATAATGGATATTCTTAAGGTTATAATTTTATTAGAAGGATGCTAGATATAAATAACTAGCCCCAAATTCCTGTGGCTTCCAGGATATAACTGAGTCAATTTAAAATGAGTTAATTTTAAAATAATTTTCAGAAAAATATTTCTAGCAACTGATAGAGCTATAAAAACCCTGAATCTTGGAGCAGCCTGTCTAAAATCCAACTAACCTGCTTTTCTTTCAGGTAATTCCATATTTTTTATTGATAACAGTAGTCTCATAGTCACTCAGCTTCAGAATTTTGGAATAATATGTAATCACTTTTGACTCTTTATCCTTTAAACCATTTCTGTTTACCAGGCCCTGTCAGTCCTCCCTTTGAACTTGCTCTTGAATTTATTCCTTCCACACTACTTCATCTTCATCTTGTCCCAGTCACTTTCCCTTCCAGATTTGCCCTTCATAATTCCACCAGTCTCATCCTTCTAAAATACAACTTTGATCACGTTACTCTGCTGAAAAGAGTTCCCAAACCCTTTAACTTGATATGTAAAGCCCCTTAAATTCTGTTCTCTGCCTGCAGTTCTGCCTTTCCCTCCTTTTATTCCTTTACACACATTGTCACTATACTCATTTTTGAACTACAGTGTTTAAAGTCCCTCAAAAGTTATATACCCTCTTAACTGATTTTCTCTTTGCACATGCTGGTCCCTCTGCCTTAAACATACTTCCATCCTTCTGCTGCCTGATTTTCACCTTCTGAGAACCTTTCCTAACCTCCTTCCTGTTCCTTTTCAGCTCTACATACAGCCCTTACCCAGCAGGTAACTTACCTTCATAAAATTTCTCATAGGGATGTCCCCAAAACATTGACCAATCTTTACCAAATTTTGTGTTTACTTGTCATCTCAAGTAAATAGCCTGAGCTTTGGTAGTACTTTGCCTGCTTCCTGGCCCCACTCTTTTACTACTGGCTATTGAAACAGTTATGTAACCTTCCAAACTGTAGTGGGTTGTTTTTAAATTAAATATACTACCAGGTGCGACTTTTTTTTGTTATGTCTAGCATAAAGAAAAGGTACTCAGTAAACATTTTATGTATGAATGAACATACATGTAAGTCCCTAAGCTTGTTATTTAATGTTTTTCAGTGGCCACTGCCTGCTAAATATGGGGATAAATTGAGTACCATGAAGCTTAAAGCAACTAAATTTAATGTTTAATTATTTTAGCTTTCTTTTCATCCTTTTAAAGAATATAAGCAGAGGAAAGACAAATATAGCTACACATCAGCTCTTCTGTGTATAATTTTTATAACTTCTGTAAACATCAGTGTCCTCATAAGGACATTAGTAGTTCTTTATGGGACATCATGAGGATTACATGAGGTAATAATGTAAATAAAATCCTTTGAACTGTGCTTGATATATAGCCAGTACACAGCAAATGTTGGATGGATGTGTTAATGGATGATATGGTTGAATGGAATTGAAAGAATAATGTATTCATTGAATGAAATTGCAAAAATACGGTATGTTTATATTCGGCTACAAGTATATAAAGTTGTGCCATTCCTTTTTGTTTTTTAGATTCCAATGTTAATATCATGTGATATCTTCTATCCTTCAATACAACCTAATATATATTTTCTTTTTTCTTAGGTTATTTATTTTCATATTCTGTGTGTGACTATAAGCATCTAATTGGATAAATACTAAGATAGCATAGGTATATTAGTTATCCACTGCTGTATAACAAATTACTCCAAAACTTAATGGCTTAAAATTACAAACATTTACTATCTCGTAGTTTCCATGGGTCAGGAATCCAAGCATAGCTTGGTTGGGTGCCTCTGGCTCAAGGTCTCCCAAGAAGTTAGGGTCAAGCTGTTAGCCAGGTCTGCAGTCTCATCTGGAGACTCAGCTGGCAAGGGTGGGGATTCACTTTAAGCTCACTCACACTGCTGTTGACTGACCTCACCTATGAGCCTCTCCATAAGGTGACCTTATGAGGTGTTTTGCTTATCAATTGCAGCTTGATAAATTACCACAAGCTTAGCAGTTTAAAACAATATACATTTTGTGAGTCAGGAGTCTGTGCACAGCTTAGTAGTATCCTATGCTTCAGGGTCTCTCAGCTGGTGCAGTCATGGTATTAGCCAGGTCTGTTATCTAAAAACTCAAATGGGGAGGGATCCTCTTCAAGTTCACATGGTTATTTGTAGAATTCAGTTCCTTGAGGCCTGTTGGACTGAAGGCTTCCTTTCTTTGCCATGACATCTTGCTTTATCAAAGCCAGCAAGGGAAAGACAGTCTTTGAGTAAATATCCATCATCATTGCTGTATTTTCTTGTTAGAATCAAGTCACTAGGCAAGCCTACACTCCAGAGGAGGGGATCACACAGGGTTTGAGTATTAGGAGGTGGGAATCATTGAGTCTGTCTGCTACAACATGGCAGCTAGCTTCCCCCAGGGTGAGCAGTCCAAGAGCACTCAAGATGAAGCCACAATCTTTTTATTACCTAATGTAAAGAGTAATATCCCATCACTTCTGCTGTACTGTATTTGTGAGAAGTGAATCAGTCTGTCCCATACTAAAGGGGAAGGGGTTGCAATGAGGGCACAAATATCAGAAAGGGGTCATTGAGATCATCTTAGAAATGCTTTTCACAATAGGTATGAGACCGCCTCTCAACCTTGCTTTCTAAACTAGTGACTTGATATCAATCAGGAATTTTTTTCTTGGTCTGGTTTGGAATTTTTGTATTCATCTTATGATTGGAACTATAAAATGAACAAATGTATTATACATTCTTCATTACTTCTGTAGATCATTGTAGAGATGACTGTGTTTTGCTGGCCTGGTGTCTACTTTCTCCAGATGTGCTTATATGTATCAGTCTAGAAAAGTTTGAGGATTCTTTGAGTTTAAGTTGCCATAGAGATATGAGATCCTGTTTTGTGTCAACCTTATTTTAAATCGAAGTTTAGAATGTAGAAGAAAAAAATGAATATCAATAACATGGTTTCTAACTTATATTAAAATCACATCTAGCTCACCTAGCTAAAAATGTAAAGGCTCTTATTATTTTGTGATCTATTCTGTTTTAAAGATGTATATTCCAGAAGTGCTGCTTTTTAAACGCTCTACTGAAGTTTTCCTTTAGGGTGATTTGAAGTGAATTGCCTGTTGTGTGCAGTGAAGCAATTATTTCTTAAATGGCCACTTAGAGGCAATATAGTAAAGTATTTCCAAAAAATGAGGGGTGTATGCTCATTGCACCAAGAAGATCGGACTCATTTTATACTATTTCACCCTCACAATAAAAATCAGCAGAGCTCCAGGCATATTTTATCAGTGTTATATGCAAATTAAACATAGAAAAAGCTATAGCTAAATAAAAATGTTGTGTTTGAGTTGGAAAAGGAATGTCTAGTAAAGGATTTCTCAGTTTTCTAAGGAAAGAGAAAAATCAAAGGCTAATCTTGTAGACTAGTATTTGAATTGTACAGGACCAACTTCTTCAGGGCTGGAAAATTTCATGTTCAGCCCTTAAGAAACCTGGCTGCCGGAGTTCATCACCTTGAATGTTCAGAACATGGCCACTGGGTGGTAGTAGAGTTGCAGTTACTTAAGTTCGCAAAGGAATTAGGTAATTCTGAGCCAACTAATCATATCGAACTACAGCGATGAATAACTCAAGAACTAAAAACTACTACACTGCATAAAAATAGAGTGTCTTTTAGGCAACAGGGATTGTTAAGTCTGAGAATTTATAAGAGAACTTAAAAACCACCCAGCTCTCTTCTTGTCCAAACTGGAATTTTTTATACAACTTCTCTATAAAATGGTCTGTAATCTAACTAAATACTTGAGATATAAATCTCACTACTTTCTAAGGCAACCTACTCCAGACTTAAATGTTTCTTAGCACTGAGAAGTTTTTCCTTATCTTTATCTAAAATCTGCTTATCTAAAACTGCGTATTCCTTTTGCCACATTCTGTTTACTTGTGTTAAACACTCCTCTCTTTCCCCTACCATTCATTTCTGCTCCCCTCTGGATACTGGGATCTGGTATTTCCCCATTTTCATTTTCAAGGTGTTGATTCCTCCAATATCTTGAGGCAAGCAAAAGATGGTAGAATGAAATAATCAAAAGGAATATAGTAGTGATCATTTTATGTTTCTATAGTATTGTTTCTCTCTCTTAAATTCTCATGCACTAAAAGCAAATTAAGGTGTATTTAGGAATATTTTAAGTGACCCAAAAAGCTGATAAGATTATCAAGGCAAACCGGGCTCGGTGGCTCAGCCTGTAATCCCGCGCCTTTGGGAGGTTGAGGTGAGTGGATTGCCTGAGCCCACGGGTTCGAGACCCGCCTGGGCAGCGAGACCTCATCTCTACAATAAATAAAAAAATCAGCCGGGCGTGGTAGCGCATGCCTGTAATTCCGGCTACTCGGAAGGCTGAGGCGGAAGGATCGCCGGAGCCCAGCAAGTCGAGGCTGCGATGGCCGGGAGCAGCCACTGCACTCCAGTCTGGGTGACAGAGTGAGACTCCAACTCCAAAAAAGGATTATCAAGGCAACTTTAAGAAGATTATAAGTTTATATTTACAAAAGAAACAAAATATTTTTTTTTAAATATGTGTGGTAATGATACATTATAGACAAATTGAAGGGGTTTTTCCTCTGAGGAACTGTTAAAGATTTCACAACTAATTTTCTTTCATTTTTCAGATTACACTAGATGTACTGGCTGATATGGGTCATGAAGAGTTGAAAGAAATAGGCATCAATGCATATGGACACCGCCACAAATTAATCAAAGGGGTAGAAAGACTTTTAGGTGGACAACAAGGTAAGCTATTCAGATAAAAGTAAATTTCAGATTAGTGGTACAAGATAAATGTCAAGGTTGGCATTTGAACTCAGGCTGTTTGGCCCCAGACCCATGCACAAAATTATTGTAATACCTTCTGCCTTCTCCATCTTAATTATTGGCCTTGTACTCCTTCTAGCTGGGAAAATCTGATAGTCAGTCTTCCCTCTTTCCTCACACTTTATATCCTAAATTTCTCTGGAATCTCTCACTGCTGTCACCTAATCCAAGCCACAATCCTCCCTCCTGGACTGTCACAGCTACCTCCCAGTTTCCCTCCAGCCTTCCCCCTTGCATCCTACCAATACCTTCTCTACACTAACCGCAGGACTTTTCAAAATGAGTATGTGATCATATCACTTTGTTGCTTAAAACCCTTCAGTAGAATTCTGTTGCTTTGAGGATGAAATCGGACGTTCACAGCATGACTTTTCTGATGTTTCTCTCTTATCTCATCTTAAACCTTTCTCCCTCTTTCACGACTACCTGCTCAGTCTTTTTCCATTGCACTTTGCTGTTGCAAGCCTCTTATCTTTTCCTTCATGTTTATAATTTATCTATTTGTTAGAAGTACTTTTACTGTAGGAAGGCAAGGGAAGAGAAAGTAAACTTACTCCACAAAGCTAATAAAATTACAAAAGTGAAACGAACTAAAAGTTAGGAGGTTTTGAACAAGGATAATGTATTCTAAAGTGATTGTAAGTAGCTGTTTCAAGCCATCCCACAAGTTTTTTAGAGGATAATTCTTATATTTTAGACCTGACTACATCGTAATTTTAGTGTGTTCCTCTCTTGTGTCAAATGTACTATCATGTATGTTCATAATTGAGTTCAGTTCAACAGATACTGGTTTAGCCCTACTGTGTGTATAGGGAACGCTGTAAGAACAGGTAAAATTGATCCCCACTTCTTCGCCTGCCTTTAGTTGTATTTGTTTAATATAACCTCATTTATTAGGTTTAAATTGTGAATAGTTTGAACTTGTTCCAAAATGTCAATTATTTATAACGAAGTTTTTTCTAAAATAGAGCCTGAGTATTATGGACTTCTGTTTTATATGTTAATTTTTCTCTCCTGTAGGCACCAATCCTTATTTGACTTTTCACTGTGTTAATCAGGGAACTATTTTGCTGGATCTTGCGCCAGAAGATAAAGAATATCAGTCAGTAGAAGAAGAGGTAATATACATTAAAAACCTTTAACATTCTTTTCCTGAAACCTGTTTTGTTTTTTAGAAGAGGTAACCTCGTCTTACATTGCCTATGGTCACTTTCCTATTATTCAGTCTCTTTTACCCATTGTAGTGGGATATTGCCAGAATTAAAATATGGTGATGGATTAGAACTATGCCACGTTACTTTCACATTATTGACCTTGGGTTTCTAATGGATGGGGCTGATCTTTCTATTCTGGAGGTTTTCTTGAAACTAAGGCAAGTAAGGATCCTACCAGAATTATTTTCTTACATTGTCATGGTGCTACCTAAGAATGATACAGAGTAAGAATCTTGCTTCATAGAACAAATATCTTCTAATCTTTATTTTTATATAGTTATAAATGTGATTATAAAATAGTATGCCTAATTTTCATAGATGTTTCTGAGTCTACCTCATTATTCTGCATCACATTTCATTTCTCCAGTCACAAGTGTTCGAAGCTCCATATTAAGGCTATTTGTTGAACCTCCTGGTAGACAGGTGCCATGGAGATTCCCTCTACTGATGGCTTATGCCTCACTTCTTACCCATAAGAAGCAAAATGCCTCATTCCATTATTCCAATTATCTTATTATGAATAAGCTACCTAATTCCATTGTTTTGCAAATACCTGGGCAGAAAAAGATATACTTACATTTTAGTTTATTTGCTTGTTTTTTAAATGAATACTCATATTGTTTCTATTCTCATACTGTACTCAGGACCATAACTCCAGGGCAGTGTTTCAGCTCATACTTAGCAGCTTATTAGGAAGATATCATGTGTTCTAGTGTCTTATTACCTAATTATTCTCCTAGGAGTTAGTAAACTCTAATAATAATGTCAAAAATATAGTGACTCTTCACAGATGGAGGAGTGAGATAGAGAATTTGCTCTGTAAGTTAATTCTATGAAAAACTTAGGTCTTTAAAATATTTTTTTCTTAATAATTATTTTTATCTTGGAGAGTGAAAGGAGGATGAATAGTGGTCAGAAGAAGACTATTTCCTTTAATAGTATATTATATTCAACTTCCCCTGGTCTATGTATATATTCTTAGAGATCCCAAGTTAAAAACTGTTAAAGTACTATGGAATATTTCACCTAGGGAACAAAAACTTATTGATTTTTAAAAATTAATTTGTTTATTTTTAGCATTTGTCCATTGGCCTATTAATTGAATGTGAGTTTTTTGCTTTGTTTTGTTTTTTACTTAATCACAATGTTGCTTCTCATTCTCAGTAACACAAAAATAGTAATTGTAGATTACTTCATGTGATTTTTTTCTATATATTCCCCCTTATGTTTACAGAAAAATCAGAGCTTTTATTAAAAAACAAATGGAAAATGCATAAATTTAATATTTATATTTGTAACTGTTTTCTTACCAGAAATACTTACCCACTAAACATGTTGATCAGTTTGTAGTGAACTATTTCTTAGTGCTGAGTTATAGACCCATCAGTGAAATAATTTAATAAAATCAAAATACAAAAAACAACAGAAGGAATGTCTTTAGGGTTCTACACTGGCCTATTTTCATAAAGTTAGTTAATTTATTTTGTTGTATAGATGCAAAGTACAATTCGAGAACACAGAGATGGTGGTAATGCTGGTGGCATCTTCAACAGATACAACGTCATTCGAGTAAGTTTTTAAAATTTCATGGTGAAAATTGGTTGCAAGGCTTACGTGAAAATCAAATCTAGACAATGAAAAACATTTTCTAAAATCATATTTTCAAACTGTCGAAGATAATTCATCGCCTATTGACCTGAAGTCAGATATTACTCTCCTTACTATTTCTCGAACTCCCCAAGGCCATATTTCACTAGAAACAGAGAAACCCTGAAAACACCAGAGCTCTAAACTGAAGGCAAGGTCAGCTTATGTTGTGAGGCATATATCAATGTTTATCTCCCTGCTCATCCACAAATTGGAAGCTTGGCTGATAGTAATTTTTTGATGTTGTTTTCATTTGAAAGTTGATTAAAAGCCTGGATCGTCCATCTCATTCAGTCAGTAATTATATCAAAATACATATATATCTTTTTAAAATAAATTTTATTATAGAGTTATGGGGTATAAGTCAGGATTAGGTACATAAGTAATCCATATGCAGGTGAAGTTTGGGCTTCCAACTGGTCCTCACTTCCCCTGGTTTGGGACCAGGTAACCAAAATACATACATCTCTTAATCTCAGTACCCTAATTTATAGTATGGAACAGTTGACTGTTATATGCTATTTTCAAAGGGATACCATGAAGATGAATGAAATCTATTGAGAACTGGCTTAATTCTTTGAGTTAACAGATGTGTGGAAGTTACACTGGTGCATGTCAGAATTATCCAGGAAACTTTTTTAAAAAATGCAGATTTACAGGTTCCATACAATTGAATTCATTAAGTTTGGAGAGGAACATACTTTTTTTTTTTTAAACTCCTGAGTTGATTTAGAGGTGGCAGCCAGAACTGGTACAGAAGTTTTAAAAAACCATAACTGAAAGTTATGTCACTAAAAACTAGAGCATTAACTGAATTACACAGACATGGCAACTTTATCATTTTTAAATTATGTCTTAAGCAAGCAAAACAAAAATGAGCCTTTCTAAAGGAAAATGTATTTTTCAGTTTAAATCATAAACATACATTTTACTGATAGTTTACTTCTTCTTCATCCTTAAAGATTCAAAAAGTTGTCAATAAGAAGTTGAGGGAACGATTCTGTCACAGACAAAAGGAAGTGTCTGAGGAGAATCACAACCATCACAATGAGCGCATGCTGTTTCATGGTGAGTAGTGTGCCTGTCATTGTAGACATCTGTGGGTGTTTGTAGGATTGCATAAAGTAAAAAACCTGTGTTAAATTGACTATGCTAGGGTTGTATTAAAAAGGGCTTGTTTTGTTTAAAAAAAAAATTACTTGCTGGTACCAGCTTTCTAATGCATTACATGTTAACAGAGGCTTTCCAAGACATGTACAAGTGAAAATAATTTATCGGAAATTGTTTCAGAAGTTGAATTACAAGTTGAGCCACCTAATGAAGTATTTTCTGTTGTAACTTGGTACTAGTACTAGTACATTATGTAAAACAGACAATCTTAGAAAATAAATTCTCCATTTATGCATTGTGAATTGCTTAATATTAATCTGCCCAGTGCAAATAGTATGCAGCTAATTGAGATTCTAGAAGTGTTGAAAAATGAATCTTTTTATCTTTATGTTTTAAGGTTCTCCTTTCATTAATGCCATTATTCATAAAGGATTTGATGAGCGGCATGCATACATAGGAGGAATGTTTGGAGCTGGGATTTATTTTGCTGAAAACTCCTCAAAAAGTAACCAGTATGTTTACGGCATTGGAGGAGGAACAGGCTGCCCGACGCACAAAGACAGATCGTGTTATATATGTCACAGGTGAGCACCCTGCCTTCAGTGTCATGGTTACCACCATCTGGTCATGAACCAAGTTTGGTTCTCAGGCTCTGCAGAAGTCACTGGTTATTCCAGTCTTACTTCCCAATAAATCATGCCGGTTGAAGGTTGGGTAGGGACAACTGATCAGCTTCTGTTGTAAGAGGAGCAATGGCAACCAAGTTGATACCAGAAGTAAAAACCAGGTACATGTCTACCAGTCATGAGCTATAATGAAACTGTCTGCATCTTGGCTTTCTCCCTGGGCTCCACTTTCCTTGCTTTGAAATCAGAACAAGAAAAAGCTGAGGATGATTTCTGTAGAACAAGAAACTCCTAGCCACATTTGTTTTGTTTTGTTTTGTTTGAGTTGGAGTCTCACTCTGTTGCTCAGACTGGAGTGCAGTGGCCGCTCTCGGCCACCGCCGCCTCGACCTGCTGGGCTCTGGCAATCCTTCCACCTCAGCCTTCCAAGTAGCTAGAATTACAGGCATGCGCTACCACGCCCAGCTGATTTTTTTGATTTATGGTAGAGATGAAGTCTCGCTGCCCAGGCGGGTCTCGAACCCGTGGGCTCAGGCAATCCACTCACCTCAACCTCCCAAAGGCGCGGGATTACAGGCTGAGCCACGGAGCCCAGCTTTTTTTTTTTTTTTTTTTGAGTTGAAGTCTCACTCTGTCGCCCAGACTGGAGTGCAGTGGCCGCTCCCGGCCACCGCAGCCTCGACCTGCTGGGCTCCGGCGATCCTTCCGCCTCAGCCTTCCAAGTAGCCGGAATTACAGGCATGTGCTACCATGCCTGGCTGATTTTTTGATGTATTGTAGAGATGAGGTCTCGCTGCCCAGGCGGGTCTCGAACCCACGGGCTCAGGCAATCCACTCACCTCAGCCTCCCAAAGGCGCAGGATTACAGGCTGAGCCACTGAGCCTGGCTCCTAGCCACATTTGAATGAAAATATACAACTTCTATAAACAAGCAGGGTCTTTCATTTGCTACTGATGGTGCTGGCGAAGTTATTTGTTTTAAGGCAGGATATGTAATTAGCCTTGAAAAGTCCAACTTCAAAATGTCAACTTTGGAATTAATAGCAAACGAATGAATATCAGCCTTTTAAATAGGATTTTAAAACCCAGAAATTGGAGATAATAGCATACTCCCTTTGAAGTCAGTGGGGAAAAATTTCTGTTCCTTTCCATGCCAGTGAAAAAATACAAAAGAATTTTACTTTACAAAAAATTGGTATTTACTATACTTTTGATTAAATTAATCAAATGCATTATTTTTATAAAGTCAGTGAACATCTTGTAATTTAGTTAAAACCTTAAAAGGACCCATATAACCTTGAAACTCATTATAATTATTACCTCAAAACTTACCTCTTTCAGTTATGTTATGAAAAATTGTCATTAGCTGTTCTGCGATGGATGCCTATGTTCAGAAAAAAACTTCCTTCCATTAAGACCTCTGTGGTTAAGAACACACAGAAATTCCTAAGAATATATAGCATGCAAAAGTAATTTTTTTAATGCTTCAAGCATAACTCTGTAGAAACAAGATGAACCTAAATAAGCAATAAGAGTGAACCTTGGTAAGGATTAATACTTTCTCATTAAAATTAGACACACAAGTTTATGTCTTAGCCAGGATTTCCTAGAAAACAGAGCCTAAGGCAAAATCATGTGACTAGTACTTCACTGTCAAATCCAGTCCTAGGAAAGCAGGAATAAGGGCCCAAAAAGAAGTGAGGGGAGGAAGGCAGCAGAGCAAACACAATGAGGTACATTAGTGAGCTGACCAAGTTCCAAAACAAGTGTATGTGATTGTTCAGTCCATGAGACATCTTCAGGGAGGCTGCATGAACTACTACGTTTCAGAATAGTAGGATATCCATGGGAGAAAGGAGTGCATTTGTCTGTTGACTTTTGTCCTTCATTGGTCAAAATTTGCCCCCCAGGATATTGATACCCCTATATTTTTGGATACTACGTGTACGTAATATGCCGTAGTGCACAAGGCAAGCCAGTGAGCAGGTATGAGCCAGTGTTCTCCACCTGCCCATCTGCTGTGTCATGGACATTTTCTTGTACCTCTACAGAATAGCCTTGGGGCAGGAAGCAGAAGGTGGAGGCCAGGGCTTGTTCAGTCAAGCTTTGTGTGACATAGTGAACTGGGAGCACACAGAATATAATGTCAGCATATTGCCACCATAATGTAGAGATGGAGCTCAAAGAGTCTTTTCCTGATGGACAGCAAAACCCTCTAGGACCTACAAGATAATGCAGTTAACCAAGACAATATCCCAGAGGATCATCAATAGCATCCAACTCAAAAAGCCCGTCCAGGCAGGACCCAGTTATCCTGGGTACAGCACAAATTTTAGTTGACTCAAAATACTCTCTCTGATTGGTCATTATGCAAAAATCATACTCCATTACTAAAAACAAACTATTTGATTAAATTATAACTGTCTATATTTAACAATGTGACCAATTATATTGCTTAGTTAAGATGTATATTACTCATATTAGGGATTGTCAAACTTTTTCTTTAAAGAGCTAGATAATAATTATTTTAGATTTTGTAGGCCATACAATTCCTTGTCAAAAGCAAGCCATGGACTGTATTTTTTTAGGAAAATGTGTGACTGTGTTTCAGTAAAAGTATATTTACAAAAATAGATGGCAGGCCAGATTTGACCCATGAACTATTGTTTGCCAACCCTTAGTGTATATAATACACATTCTTCCCAATCAGCCTTTCTGACTCTACAGTCATCTGCCCCAATTCATGTTTCACCCGTAGTATGATTTCCAGTCATATATTTAAGCTAAGTATTTTTGTTCATGATCCACTTTTATTATTATGTATTATCCCAGTTTTTACTTTTTCCTCATATTGACTAAACCCAATCTTAATTTCAGCTGCTGTTTCCATTTGCTGGTTTTCTTCACTCCATCTATTCATCCATGCAGTAACAAGTTTTTCTTTAGTTATTTCCCTTTTTCCACTAGCCAAAACTCACTGATGTGATTCCTGAGCCACACCAAAGCTACTTGAAGTATAACTAACTACTGAGCCTGACAGTTGTTTATAGTAAATCAATATATCAAATCTCAAGTCTCAGTCCGTTCCTACTTATAAATTTAAAAATGACATTTAAATTAGCTTTTCTTGTAGTAAATTATTTTTAAATTAATAAGCCTAACAATTATATGATCCTAATATTTCAAGCTTTCTTAAAAGCACTGCTTTTTTTCTTTTTCTTTAGACAAATGCTTTTCTGTAGAGTGACCCTCGGAAAATCCTTTCTTCAGTTTAGCACCATGAAAATGGCTCATGCTCCTCCAGGCCATCACTCGGTTATTGGTAGACCAAGTGTCAATGGGCTGGCATATGCTGAATATGTCATCTACAGAGGAGAGCAGGTATGTTCCTCATCAAGTAAGCACACCCAAGTGGCTAAACATGTCAATAGAGTGTGGAGACCATGTCAGATTTAAGGAGACCTTTTATGAAAGATCCACCACATAGTCTAGTAGCATTAGTCACTTCAAGCACAGAATTAAGATATCAGAACCAATCAGTACCTGTCAGCTACATAACACAATGTGAACAAGAGGATAACTGAGAAATAAAGGCCTGGGTTCTCACACCATGCTAGAGGCCCTCTCCGCTGAATTAATGCCTTGTGCCGCTTCATCCGCAGCATGGCAGTAAGAAACTGAAAGTGGCTGCCGTGTATTGGATCTTCTTCATAGATGTACCTGCCAAGGTGGTTCACTTGAGTTGAATCTATAATCTGACCATGTTGCTCACAAGAACAATAGTTTTCTGAATCATTAAGTTACAGTACATTTAATTCTGGCCCCAAAATAAGATTGAAAACTATGTGTGTGTATGTAAATACATATACAGAGAAATGTAGAGAGAGAGAGAGAAAGAGGGAGAGAGAGATAAAACTTTCTATAGTTTTCAGCCCAGGTTTGTTTTTTGGTTTATTTGGTTTTTTTGAGTCAGGGTCTCACTCTGTCATGTACGCTGGAGTGCAGTGGCATAACAGCTCACTGCAGCCTCGAGCTTCTGGGCTCATGTACCACCATGCCCAACTAATATTTGGATTTGTTGTAGAGACGAGGTCTTGCTATGTTACCTGGGTTTCTAATGCCTGAGCTCAAGCATTCCTCTTACCTCAGCCTCCCAAAGTACTGGGATTATAGGCATAAGCCAGTGTACTCGGCTTCAATCCAGTTTTTAACTATCACTATTGCTAAATGTCTACTAATTTGTCCAAAAGCAACATTAGTTTTCCTGAACTTAACTGAATTTCAAATGACTATCGTAATTACACTGAAAGGGAAAAAACAAGAAGAAAATAAGTAAATGCACATAACCTATGAAAACAGTATTTTACTATGTGCCATCAGTCTTGGGCAGGGTAGGGTGTAGATTACGGGAAAGATTTACAAGGAAATCCTGAGCTCCATTTAGCAGGTCTATTGATTGTGACACTATGAGCAATACAGTGAAACTCTTTTAGGTGTACTATAGGATTGAACAAATGAGTAAATGTGTTGATGTATTGATTTTGGGAGCCAAAGTTCTCACTGTAGAAAAAGGGACAAATACGGAATAGGGAAAGGTCATTAAAGATCCTATAGGGATGAAATTGAAGGTATTCATATAAACTCATGGTTTCTAATATATGTATATAGAAATGTGTGTGTGCGTATGTGTGCACGCACACATCCATATAAATACATGCATTCATGTATATGTTTGTGAGTATAAATATAAGTGTATGTTTACATGAGTTCATATGTACATATACTTTTTAGCTTTGTCTGCTGAAAGCAAAGAAACTCCAATAGCAATGAGCAAACCTAGAGCCCAGGTCTTGTTTCTCTAGTATCATTCCCCACTAAAAGGAACCACAGCTTCTTGGAGAAGCAGCTAATTTCAGGGCTGGAGCAGAACAGGTGCAAAGTGAGTTTCGAAAATCTTGTTATGCTAGAAAGTAATGAAGTGCTCAAAAAACAAATCTTGAGAGCATGTCACAAGGACACAGAAAGCAGCTTAAAGAGGGACTCCCACTGGCCAAATCTGGGAAAATTTGAACACCAAAATAAGTACTGTAATGAATTTTAAACCATTGGGGAAAAAATAGGAAGTCATTATTATTTATTGACAATAAATAGATAAATAAGTAAATGAAGGAGAAAGGACAGGCTCTTGATTACAGTAGAAAGCCAAGAGCAAATAGTTAGGGTCTTAGGGAGTACTGGAACGGGAAAAATCATCTTACAACCATCACTGGAAAAGATTAAATCAGGTAAGAATTATCAATGGATGCTAAATATAGGTGGTAATTTCAATAAGGAGAATATTTGTGTAGTCTTCTTATTACAAAGTTACAAAGGAGGGGGAACAGTAGTTATACATTGGAGAAAGGATCAATGTCTTGACCAGATAATCAAACTTAACATCACCAATAAGGGACAGGTACACGTATAGTATGTTTCCAGATGGATGCTCTGAGAAGGGAACAGCATCTATGCAGTATTTCAGCCAAGAATGCATAACCTCAGTCTTATCAAAATGAAAAATGTTCTATTTTGTGTGTGTGGACAGGTTATATTCTTCAAAATGCCAACATTATAAAAGAGAAAGACTGTGAAGACTTTCCAGATTAAATGAGGTCCAAGAGACATGAAAACTAAAGTTCCTGCCCCCAAATTGTATTCGGTACTGGAAGAGAAAGGACATTATTAGATCACCTGACAAAATTGGAATATAGACAATAGATAGATAAAAGTATTATGTCGTTGTAAATAAAAGTATAGGTCAGTGCTGTACTATGTAAGAGAATATCTGTATTCTTAGGAAATGTATACTGGCATATTCAGGAATAAAGGACCACGATGATGTATACAACTACTCTTAGATGTTTCCAGGAAAAAAAATGCATAAGTGTATACATGCAGTGGGGTGTGGGATGTGAGAGTGTGTCTGTTATGTAGAGGTAGGGAGAAGTACACATGATAAAGCAAATGGGATAAGTAAAACCTTATCAATAGGTGGATCTGGGTCAAAGTTATATAGGTATTTTTGGTGTCATTTCAATTTTTCTAATCTATCTTATGTTTGCAATTGTATCCAGATAAAAAGTAAAAAAAGAAAAGAAACCAAAGAATAAATTTGTCAGGTTTTTCTATTTAAATTATTAACTCCAGAGACAAGATGCTTTTACTTTGATTTAGTAATTTTATAATTCTAGAAATTGGTATTAGGTAGAAACAGTAATGGTCATACACTAAAATATACAAGGGGTGCCAAAAAAATGTATACACATTTTAAGTATAATACTTGCTCAAAAGATGCTAGCATCACCATGCAACAAGGCAGGACAGTAGAATAAAATGGCAGAAGCACAACTGAGCTAATGTCTTACTATACATTCCTACTGTAATTTAACTCAGCATCAAGAAGTAATATATAGATGACATCTCTCAAAATGTGTGTGCATTATAATTTTTTGGTTTTGTGTGTGTGTGTGTGTGTGTGTGTGTGAATATTCATCATTTTGATTATCATAGTGAAAAATTCAAACAAATATTCAGCAAAAGTAAAATTGCTAAATAAACTTTAATGTATTCACATACCTGTTATTCACATGCCTTATTTAAATAATACATTTACATAATATCACTAAGCATAGAATCAGCCAAAACAGAAGAGTAGTTATCACTGGGTATTGAGATTACATAATTGATTTCAGTTCTTTTTGTTATGTATTTCTTAATACATTGTAAGTTGTCTGTAGTAAATATTTTTCATAATTGAGTAGAAAGAAATAATAAGAGATACTTAAAAAATAAATGTCTACTTTTCTGAAGATTACTGATCATTCAACCATTTCCCAAGTAAAATTTGACTTAATAATTGTTGAGTCTCTTGCTAAAAGAATTTTAGAGAGTGATGTGGTAGAAATCTTATTTGAAAGAAAAAGTACCTTGAAATACGAAATGTACTTAGTGTTTGTTTTATTTCAGGGAGGATACTTGTTCTTTCATATCCAGGCATACTTGTCCACATGAATAGTGTCAACAATTGTAGTGTCCACTATCTGAGTAGTTTCCCATGAGCAATTTTTTCTGAGTTTATGGTGAAGTTTTCCTTTGCTAACATTTATTTCATTCTCCTCAGTTACCTAAATCATCCTTTACTCTTAGTGTTTAACAATTTTTTTTTTTTTTTGAGTTGCACTCTCACTCTGTCACCTAGGCTGGAGTGCAGTAGCACACTCATGACCTCTGCAGCCTCGGCCTGCTGGGCTTAGGTGATCCTTCAGCCTCAGCCTTCCAAGTAACTGGAATTACAGGCACGTGCTACCATGCCTGGCTAGTTTTTTTATTTATTGTAGAGATGAGGGCTCGCCAAGTTGCCCAGGCTGGTCTCGAACCCCTGGGCTCAGGCAGTCCTCTCACCTCAGCCTCCCAAAGTGCTGGGATTATAGGCGTGAGCCACTTTGCCTGGTCGTGTTTAACACTTTTAAAAACATACAAATGTTTTATTCAGAGGGTTGATTTGAAGAGTATTGTTCATTATTGGTGGGATTGTTTTTCTTTAAGATTGAAAAGATATGTTGAAAGTTAACTGAATTATGTCTGAAAAGAAAAAAAATGATTCTGTTTATAGCAAGAGAGAATGGCAATCCTTTCTTCAAACTGAGAGCATTTGAATTTTCATTTTAGCTTTAGGAATTTGGGTTAAGAAGAGTTTCCTAAAAGTGGTTATTGAAACTTAAAAAAATATATATTCTATGCTTTTATAAACAGCATGGATTTAAAGTGACATGACAGAAAATAATGGTTTTTGGTCCATTCTAGGCCCTTCTAGTCCTGCAGTTTAATAATTCCCTTGCTTTAAATCCCCATGGACTTTGATGTGATTAAACAGTATCTTAAAGTATATATACACAGAAACAGTAGTCTAATCAGTAGGAGTGAGTAGCATTCAGATAAGGACCTTTAAGTATTTCATGCCATTAGAATCTTAGAATCTGCCTGATTAAAATTTACATGTGTCAGGGATCACGTTAAATAGCATGCTACCAAAATTCAAACACTGGCATTACTGACTCCTTTGCTTAAGCAACTTTTCTGCAAGCAAAAGATAATGTGTCATACAAGGTATGTAGGTATTAAACTTCATTGGGACAAAAAGAAATAGGAGTGGGTTTCCCAGTCATTTTTGACATGTAGCATATGCCAGCCTGGTTATTTTTAATTCCTTCTTTCTCTGTCTGGTTTATCCTCTAGATAGTGAGTTCCTTGACAGCAGAATTTGTGTTTTTTATGTGGTAGATGGTCAATACATGTACATTGGTGATGAATAAATAACCATAGGGTTGACTAATCAGTATTTTTTCCAACCAGTTTTAGAGCTTTTCTAGATTCTTTATATTCAACTCTATAATTAGCAGTAGGTATCTGACCTATCTTGTTTAATAACTAAAAACTAAAGAGCCACCATAAAACCATTTCAAGAATTAAGCAGTGTATAAATTATAATAAAATAAAACTACAAGCAGTTCAGTTATTGAGGCTTCAGATCAGAAAGTCAGTAGAGATTGTCAGTCTTGTCTCTTCTAACTAGATGTATTAAAGATGGAAACCATTTCTGTTTTTAACTCAAACCAGAGCTGACTGAAATTTGGAAAAAGAGTATTATGAATAATGATAATTATTTATGTGTATAGAGACAATTATAACTCTAAAATTCATTTATGGTCTTGTTATTTTTAAAATTCTTACTAAGGCATTTTAGGAGGAACTGCATTCTAATGTATGATAATAATGACAATAATAATGTGAATAGTAATAACTAACATATATTAGATTCTTACTATGCCAAACCTATTCTAAGACCTTTGTATTTAATGCTCACAAATATCCTAATATTGTTTTCATTCTCATTTATAGATGAGGAAAGCTGAGACACAAATTCTGCCTCCTAAGATGGAGGTGTATAGTTACAAAGAAATAATTCAGTGCATCTATCACACGGTTATTTTTGCATTCTTAATTTTAAATAGTCCAGTTTTGTCTTGTCTTTCATTCCTTTTGTTATTTTATTCCATATCTGTATGCAAAAGTTGGTAGGTCAACATCAACAAATTATTTTGGGGCCCCAAAACACTTTGCTCACCAAAGAGTATTTTTTTTCAGCCACAGACCATTCTGAAATATTGGGTCTAGTTTTATCATCATGTTATATTTAAAGTTGAAGAATTCCTATGTAGTATATAAACCTGGAGGTGTTCTGCCTGCTTCTTTCCAATTGCTGCCTTCCTTGTGATTTCTGGTTAAGGGTTATAACAGCTTCTTCTGGCCAGCCTTCCTTTCCTTACTCCCATCAAAAACTGTTCTTCCAATTCCAGACACTGAGCCTTCTCTTTTACTAACTGCAAGACAGTAGAGACAAAGAAAAAGAAAATAGTGGGGGGGAGGCTAGTCTAAATCTGAGCTATTGTCTTTCCTGTAAAAGGTGATTTTAATTAGTCAATTTAAAAAAATGATCTCCAAACTCTAGTGTCTAGATTATTGGTGATTCAACACATTTCACCCTTACTCCTTTTACCTCAGTGGATTGCATCATTTTCTATGATTAATTTGAACTTGATTCAACGGAATTATTCTTTGATTCTACAAACTTTTCTTGAACACATGCTGTATGACAGCATTATGCTCCATGAGGTGAAAAAGATATTAGTGCTGCCATCCCTTAGTTTTCCTGTGTATGGCACATGGCTCTTTAATAAAGGATGAGTGGAGTATAACTAATTTACAGAATTCAGAGTAGAAATAATAGTTATAGAGTTTCCTAGATTGTATGGTTTATACATGTTTATACAAACCTGGAGGTGTTCTGCCTGCTTCTTTCCAGATAAGTAGGTAGACCTCCTAATTGTTCAGGCACCTATTAGTCAATGGGCCTGTGTCAACTATTGGTTAGGATCAGCAGCCTCTGAGACTTTCACGTTAAGTAAGGCTTTAATAATGTACCTACCAGAAGGGTAATTTATTTATCTTCTTGTCCTTTCCAGGCATACCCAGAATATCTCATCACATACCAGATCATGAAGCCAGAAGCTCCTTCACAGACCGCAACAGCCGCAGAGCAGAAAACCTAGTGAACGCCTACTGGTAAAGGCCAGATCGGATTTAAACCTGGGACTGGATTACAGCAGATTGTTTGCAACAAAAAAATCAATATTCTATAAATCCCTGACAGCCTAGAAATAAGCTGTTTGTCTTTTATAAAGCATTGCTATAGTGATGAATATAGTATGAGTAACTGATACATACTCAACTGCTACTGTTCCCTTTGAGGAAATGTTTACAGGGGCGGCCTTTTAACATATCTCAGGCTCATTTTCATTGCAGTTATATGTTTCTAAAATAAGATTGCTTTGATCTAGACTTGGAAATGAAAAAAAGGAAAACATAACCAATACTTTTTCAAATGTTCACAATTCACACACTACATTTGCTTTGTTATGTATGCATGGCACGTGTATATGACAAATATACACATATGACAGGCTCATCTTTAATTTGCCAAATGTGCATCATTGCCTTGTTTTAGTTTATGTTTTTGTTTTTTGGTTACTTTGAAAATGAGCCAGAGCCTTCTTGAGGATATTTTGCACAAATTCACACTGACAAAAATCATTAGCAGTGCAACCCAAGCTTCTGGCTGAGCAAGATTGAGTTTCCACTTTTGTTTGTTTGACTTTGTATCTGTGCTTCTCATTAACATAAATTGAGATGAAAAGGAAGAACATCAAGTTTTAGTATCCTTTTATGAATTGGCTCACCTTACAAGGGAAAGGCATAAACATCAACCCGACTTATGAGCTCCCGAGTTCAGAGAAGTCAAACCCGGTGAGGGTCACTTGCTCTTTCCAACACAAACGTGCCACAGAGGCACCCAAACAGTGCTGGAGAGCTGCAGGAAGCACAGCTAGGGAAACGCTTCTGTTTTGAAGTAAAACAGTCTGGGAGGCTGTGAAGGATGAGCGCCATTAAGGAGGGTGAGGAGCATCTGGGTCTGTGTCATTCCAGCCCAAATGGATCAAGGGGACGCTTCCAAAAATAAATACTTCCCTTTGTTTAATCCATTCTACCGGAGTTGTCGCCCCCCTCCCCAAATTAGCTGCCTTATTTCCAAAGTCAGTGGAATTATTGTACTTCATTAGAGTCACAAAAATATTACTTTATTGTTTCTTTAGTTTAGAAAGCTAGGATTCAAATCCTGTTTAGTAGATAGACACAAATGCAAGAACTTATTTTGTTTACTCCAGATTTGGGGTGTATTTTGAGTGGCATGCTTCATATAGTTTATAAAGATCCCTGCTCTAAATTTTTGAACCCTTTCTTCAAACTTCTTAATATATTTAGACAAGGAGAACAAAAATGGAAACCAAAGCCCTTTCTGTTATTTTTTTAAATGAAGATAGAGAAATACCATACTGTTTTCTTCGTGAAATTACTACTTGTCTTAACCCCCTTTGCCAAGTGCACGTTGATACTTATAAAAATTACCCATTATAGTTCTTGCCCTTGCCCTTGCCCTTTCACCTTTACTCAATATTGAATTAAGTGCACTAATTTATTGACTTGACATGCTGGGCTTCAACTCTTCTTTGAAGCAAAAGGAACATAAGTGTGATGGAAAAATAGGAAAAACAGTGTGACACAAACTTGCCATTTCACTGTAAAGCCCTGAAAACGAATTTGGGTGGTTTCATTTTTTGTTTGTTTTGTTTTGTTTTTAAGTGCAGACTGATTAATCTGTTACCTTCTTTTCCTGAAGTGAAATAAAATGGTTACATGCAAAAATTCTAGAAATAGGCTCTTTAAAATATACATATTGCTTTCTTTTTGTTTGAATCCAATACTAGAACTAGGCATCCAGACTAGTTTGAATTCTGTAGCTGAATTTTGCATGGGTCCTCAAAATTAAATCAAGAATTAGCCTCAGTTGTTGCTTCTATTGAAGTTTCAGTGACCCAAGCTGGGTGTTTGTGTCTTGGCTACTTGTTTACTAGCACTAGAATTCCGTATGAAGCTTTGAAATTTGATGTTCATTAAAAGGGGTTTCCCCCCTCCTTTCCTTCTTTCTTGCTGTGTGTTACAAGGGTTGAAGAAATTGCCATCTGTGTAGTTTTCAGTGGCTGTGAAGTGTATATTACTTACCCCCCTTCCTTAGACATAGTTTAAAATGGTAAACACAGCTGTGATTTTTAGTTAAGTAAAAGAGTTAATATGGTACAGATATGGAAAGCTTTATAGCTTCATTAAAGATAAACCACTACCCAACTGTGGTTATATGTTGTTTCCATCATACTAAGTAGATTAATGGATGTGCCAGTTTTAAACTTGAGCCTTACACTTGAGAAGTTAAACTGTGGTTCAGTACTGAAATTGCCAATGTTCTGTGTCTGATGTACTGTGTGCCTAGTAAAGGTACTGTGTAAGGAAGACATTTGCAGTGCTTCTTGTCTTGTAATGAGTCAAATATATTGTAGTTCTTGAAAGAATGTGCATATATTGCTCATCTGCTTAAGAGAGTGAGTTGATACATCACAGGAGCCAAATACTTATTTTTCTGAACTTGAAGACCAAAGTTCATCATGAGTGCACTCACAAGTTAGCAAAAACTGATTACATTTGGAATTTTATCTATAGCAATGTGAACAACCCTTGGCAATATAAAGGCATGGCATTAAATTAGGCTAAAATCTATTTAATATTTTGCACCATATGGAAACACTAGCAAGTTGGAAACTTCCAGTATGATCTCCCCTGAAATGGCCCCTCTGTTTCCCAAACCATATGGAAGACAGAATCTGAACATCTCCACCAGCTTTACCAGAGTTTTAAAATCAAAGGGTTTCTCCAGATCTGATGGGTTTCAGCCTACCAGGTATTGGCCAACTGGATACTTGACTCAGGCAAAAATTAAGTGCCCAGAAATCAAAACTTTCTCTTGGTACTTGACCTCCTTCCCTTTTTCCCAATCTGGAACTAAAATTAGCTCCAACAGTTACCTTGGGCTCCATTCATTTTTCTCATTTCTTCATTTTGGGTCTTACAAAAGGAGACTAGGTAGGTACCTTTCCATGATTCTGTCACAACCAGAAATGGGTATTAGGCCTCATGTCCTTTGCTTAGGTAAGATACTCTGCCAGTTTGTTAACAGATGACAGCATGGAACTCAAGAGTTTTAGCTCTATGCAAAATAATAGCAGTATACCAGGATTCTTATTTTCCCATTCCTTCTTGGAGTTTGAAGTTGCTAGCTTTTCAAGCAGTATGAGTAGAATAAACAACATTAGGATGTTTTGATGAAATCGCATCCTTCTACTCGTTTGAGCTTGATGTTAATGGCTAGACTGATTTCCCTTTGCTCTCAAAATAGCAAAGTGCATTGAAATATACAGAAAATGCCTAAATATGACAAATAAATAAGGTAATATAGATTAGCATTCTATTATTGTAGCCACTATACAACAAATAAAAATTTAATTTATGCCAAAAAACAGCCTTAGAATGCAATAAGTTGTCTAGGTTTTTCTCTATTTCAGTATATCTCCCAGTTGCACAAAGGGTGTTGGACATTGCACCCTCTCCCTTTTTAAACACGTGCACTGCCTAGATTCCTATAAATGGCCTTCAAACAGAAATGCTGTGTATTTCCAAGCACCTTCCCTCAGCATGCTGTTGTCCCATTTGTGTGATAAATAGCCTTCTCGCTATGTTTTCTGTTGGACTAATTATCTGGCATAAAGCTGTAGACTTTACTAATTCAACAAATATTCAAAACTGATATTAAGATTTCATGTGTCAGAAATTTAAAGTCTGAGGTTAAATTTGTTTGATGTCAAATTAGTGACAAAAATGAAAAAGAAAGTAATTGTGAAAATAATATTTGAACTGTTGTTGGACACATCTACCATATACAAAGAAAATGCATTCAAAAATACAACTCTAAAAGCATCATCGGGCAACTTGTGCATTCTGCAGTTAGTAGACTATTAAATTTTTCTTCTTAAGAAAGCCTTAACTATGGCAGAAACTTTTTAATCTTTTATATTCTAATAAATGAAACATCGTAATTCAATTTCTTAGTGTTTGAAAGGTGTCAGTGACTCTCCATGTATTTCATACCCATTAAACTTATTTTCTGAGGATATATTTAAAAAGTAATAGTCCCTTACATATAAGGGAGCTGACAAATCAATTCATTCTAATTTCTCCATATCTGAAATTCCTCAGCTACCAAATTTCTGGTTTGGAGAAGTTCTGGAAGGATTTTCAAAACCTATTAAGTTGTGTATGTGGGGATATGGTAACAACTGTGATACCCTGCTGGATCTGAGTGATATGCAAGCTGTTTTTTAATCATTTTAAAATATAAACTATGATGATACTTAAGCGAAGACCTGTAAGAAGCTAAATATTTTATATACTCTATAAGGCCAAATATGGTCATGGTGTGGCCAGTTTTGTATTTCTGCCAGAGTTCTGTATCCTTTGAAGTAACATTTTTACTGTAGAGATGATTACATGTCGACTCTTCTTCTTTCACATCTCTTTGTTTCTTTACACTTCCCATCTCCACACCTGCCCTACTACCATCCTTTCTAAGAGAGTTCTCATGCTTTGATTGTTTTGTGATTTTTTAAAATCCATCTTCTCATTTCTGCAGGCAGCCCCAAAAGCCCTTTGTTAATTCAGAGCATTTGCAGAGAAATGCAGTTGAACTCTGGCAGTGGAGTGTCCCTCACACACCCTCACGCCCCTCTCAAAGTTCATGATGAAAAGCTAGAAAACAACAATAAAAGTTAGAAAGTTAGGAAGGAACTGAAATCTTTGAGGCTAATAGCCTAGACCCAGAAGATAACCTTGATTACGTAACCATTGTATGCATAACACAAAACACTGAAACTCTATGTGTGCATTTAATACCTGCTTCTGCTCCTATTGTTTCAAGCTCATCTTTGTGGTAGTAATATTTGTCTTTGATACTTACAAACTAAAAAGGTACTTTTAAAAACAAGATTTCTCAAAAACATTTACAAAACCAGCTTTGAGGAAATGTAGACTATTTCCTGGCAACAGCATTTGGAGTAGTAATTGTATTTTCTCATTGTGATACTGGTTTGTGCAAGTATCCAGTGTAGTGACTCTTTGGTTCATTATTGGTGTTATTTTTAGTCTTTGTGTGACCCACCAGTGGCAGGGGGTTCCAAGCCCCTACCCTTTCTTTTCTACATTTGTCTGTTTGTAGGACTGTCAGATAAAATACAAGATCCCCAGTTAAGGTGGAATTTCAAATAAACGATTCTTTAGCTTACATATATTTCCTGCATTATTTGGCATATACTTATAGTAAAAGCATTGATTGCTTGCCTGAAAGTCCTATTTAACTGGGAACCCTGGTTTTTTTTTGCTTTTTTTAAGTTTTGTTTTTCTAAATCTGGCAATTCTACCAATTTGGTCATGGAAAACCGTTTACAGCATGTGGAGTCTTACACTTTTCATTGTCTTTCATCTGAAATGGAAGTCCTTTTTTCCCTGGCCCTGTACTTATTTCCAAAAGAGGGCGTCAAGGAATTTAATCTGCCTGCATGGTGGGTTTCTATTCAAGACATCTCTGTGATTATAGTTAACCTGTAATTGTGCTTTGGCTTAACGTCTAACTCACAGTACCTGTAATTGATTAATATTCAATAAAACATTTTTAAAATACACTGTGTGTATAGCGGCTAGCTCCTAAGTGTTTTCATTTTGCCCTGTTTGTTCATTTCAGCCTGATCCACCTTAACACAACTGACCTAAAACTGTCAGAATACAAGTACCATCTCTCCCTCTCTATCTTCCTAATGAAACCTGGGTTTGAAGTGCCTTGTCATCACCTGTGAGCCCACATGGGAATTACTCAAGTACAGCAGTAGCAGGAGAAACACAGGTTCCTTTCAGAAATACCTCTTATACTTGACTTTGGAGTCAGACCTCACACCAGTTCCTAGGGCAGCACAGAGGCCCCGCTCAAACTGACTGCCCAGAGATTCAATCTCTCCAGCTCTCATATTGGAGGAGAGAATACGATGATAAATATTAAATGCCTGGCACAGACAGTGAAGGAGAATTTTCCTTTTCTTCCCTTCTCCTTTCTTTATGCCTAGTGACCCACCAAGGAGATATGAATGAAGTAACTGGAAGCTCTCTAGTAACACTGCAATTAACAACAGATATCACTGAACTCATACAGCAACCAGGTACATTGTATACATTGTCATGAATGATCCCCACAACTTTGCAAAATGGGTGTTTTAATTCCTGTTTTACAGATGAAGACATGAGACTCAACATTGTTAAATTAGTTATTTTGTATTTCAGAATACTTTCTATTATAAGACTAAGTATCAGTTGCTATGCACTAATCTCTGAGTTTCATTGTTTAGTTAAGTAGGAATGAAAACACAGAATTGATTCTACTATGTGAACTTATATCAGTAAATCAGGGAAGATCGAATTCTAGATGCCATTAGACTTAGGTGTTCTTCTTTGGTTACCACTGTGTTAGAAATATAAATTATCTGAATTGTGCACAAAAAGCAAGCAGAATATAAAACACCAAATAACTTAGAATTTCAGCAGCTTGCTTTGGTTTATGATATGGAAGTATTCCAAGGGCCTGCTTTTATAGTGTGAACCACTGTGGGGGCAGGGGGGATAGGGTGTGGGCTATAAATTACTTGTTAGACTGCATTTATTTTCTGAAGAAAATCAGTTACTGGAAAATGGAATCCTATGACATGTAAAGGGATAAGTGCTTCTTGGGCAGCAAATTTTGAAGAATTGTCTTTGAATTCCATTGTCTGCATTGAGTGCTTGGTCGTGACCCAGTGTCTGAGATTAGAGGCAGTATGCCTTATTTATAGCACTTGTAAACCTATATTATTTGACTCAGGTAACTTTTCTCCATTATTTTATAATCGTAAGACTACACAATAGGCCTCCATCTGGAAGAGTACCTGACACTGTATTGGAAATAATAAAAGATGGGTCATCTATCCCCAGTAAGTTGGGACCTAACTGCCAGGTTTTCTGGTTGACAAAAGAAACAAAGACAAGTGGGGGGTGATATGTAGGTCTTCATTTCAACCAATCCCCACCTGTCATATAGTGCTAATAAAACAACTTTGTGTAAGTAAGACAATATGGAGGTGATGTTAATTTTGTTAATAAGATTTTTGGCATACTCTTCCTAGTCAAGGACTGATTTGTAAAGTCCATTCATCTGTACTTCTGTAAGTCTGCTTGTAAGTCGATGGTATGTAATAGAAAGCAGTAATACAAAGTCTAGGGTGACCATGGCTATGAATCACTGAAAATGTGTAGAGCCTGAAGTTGTCAGGAAACCAGTACCTGCCCCTTGCTACAAAATTGCTTCATAACTCCAAGGAGATTCCAGGAGGGCTGTATGCCCCTACTTTGCCATCTGCCAAGTAGAAATGCTGTCTGGCATGTAGTTATGTAGTAGGACTGTTTAGAAGATGTACAAGGTGATGCAAATCAAATGCTTTTAGGGATCCCAGAAGAAGATGGAAGTAGAACAATGAGAAGTATGGATGACTAGATAGTCTGTTGATGTAACTAGCTTGCTGAAAGACTATATAGAACTAAAACCTCCAGCTGTACCATCAGATGGTGACTTCATAGTCTGACTCTGCCACTTACTGGACGTGTGGTCTTGGAAAATTCCTTATTCTCCCTGAACCTCAGTTTCCTTATCTTTAAAATGAATACGGTAGCATACTCATAGAGCTACTGTGTGAATTAAATGAGTTAGCTTGTCTAGTAAATGGTCTTTTTTAATATGAAAACTGGCTTTCCATCCTGCCTCCCCAGAAAAAGCACATGATGGGCTAGAATAGTGTGATTAGGAGAAAGCAAATCTGTGTGTCTGGCTCAGACCCTTAAAGAGTTTTCTGCTTCATTGGAACCCAGAGTGCCGCAGAGTGGAGCCAGATGTCCAGAGTCAGCCCTAACATTTTGTCACCAAACTGCCCTCCTGGCCCAGAGCTATTGCCAGTCCTGCTGAGGTTGCTCCTTACTGATACAGTAATGAGAACAGGAAGGAATTTGCAACTATAACCTCATCAGTTAGTGTTGGTGAGCATGGTACAGCAAAAATTCCCCAGAGTTCACTCAAACTCCCAGAAAGAAAAGACTGCAACAATTACTGTGTTAGGACTAGAGCTGAAAGACCTCACGTTCCGTTAGTATACCTAGGAGTTCAGGAAGACAATTGTCCAAAATGTGATGAAAATGACCAATTTTTGACCATGGGAAGACTTGGCCAGTGGAACATTTTCTAAAATTTGAGCAAGAAAGCTTAGAGGAAAAGAAGGACAAAGAGAGGTCTGAGGTATTCTAAACACAGCAGGAAAGCAAGAAACTTGGTTGCTGCTCAAGTTTGCTTGCGCCTAATTTCATTATCACCATGTAGTAGCATTTCTCATGACCACAGCCACAAGTAAGGAAAAGGCAAAGGTTTATTCAGCAATCGATGTTAGTTGAACTCAACACCCTAAGCTAGCCACATGCTAAAGGATGAAGATATAGGTGCAGACTAACATTTCGTAGACTCTGAGAACCGGAATGGGTCATTAGAGGTCATCTGGTCCAGCTGCATTATTTTATCATTTAAAACTCTGGGCCGGGTGTAGTGGCTCAGCCTTTAATCCCAGCACTTTGGGAGGCCGAGACTAGAGGATTGCCTGAACCTGGGGTTTCAAGACCAGCCTGGGCAACTTGGTGAGACCTCATCTCTACAATAAATCACAAAAACTATCCAGGTGTGGTGGCATGCGTCTGTAGTTCTGGCTACTTGGAAGGTTGAGGCAGAAGAATTGTCTGAGCCCAGCAGGTTGATGCTGCAGTGGCTGTGAGCATACTACTGCACTCTAGCCTGGGTGGCAAGAGTGAGACTCCAAGTTTAAAAAAAAAAATTAAAAAATGAAACTGTTTTTTAATAGCTTTTGGGGTACAAATGGTTTTTGGCTACATGAATGATTTGTGTATTGGCGAAGAAGTAAGAGATCTAAGTGTACCCGTCATCCCATTAGTGCACGTTGTGTCCAATGAGTAATTTTTCATCCCTCCTCCCTTCCCATCTCCCGTTTTTGAGTCTCCGGTATTCATTCTATAGTCATTCTATGTGCCTTTACAGACTATTAGCTTAGTTCCACTTACAAGTGAGAACATGAGGTATTTGGTTTTCTGTTCCTGCATGACTTCACTTAGGATAATGGTCTCCAATTCCAGCCAAGTTGCTGCAAAGGGCATTATTTTGTTCTTTCTTATGACTAAATAGTATTCCATGGTATGTATGTATATATGTATACACAGATACACACACATGTATATATCACATTTTCATTAGCCACTGATTATTGATGGCCATTTAAGTTATTGATGGCCATAAGATATATTTTTGCAACTGTGAATTGTGCTGTGATGAACACTGCATTATTTTATTGAGGAAGAAGTTGTCAAAAGCCACATAACTAGACTGAGGCAGGGCAGACACCAGAATCGAAACTCCTGACTTTTCTTTGAAATTAGAAAAGGCCATGCTCTGACATGAATTCTTAAAATGGCCTTTAATACTTCCCTCTCTTTTTTTCTTTGTTCTGTCTACAGGTAGCCACTGTGTCCTATAGAAATAGCTCAAATCTCACATCCATCCCTAGATCAGGCCTTCACACCTGTACTAATAATTGCTCACCCCATTGCCAAAACCTTCCAAAAGCCTATTTCTGAAACTATATGTTTTAATGAATTAATCACTTAATTTATTAAATAAATCAAACCATAGAGCAAGAACAAAGAAGAAGTAAGTTAGTACATTTGGTATAGATAAAGTACAAGAGATGACACTACCTGAACCTTCAGTTACGCAATGTCCATATCCCTCCCTCCTTCCCTTCCTTGCCTCTTGTCTTCCTCCTCTGTCATATCAGCCTTCTTGCTAATGATATAGTTTCAGGAACCAGAGTGAGACTTTACAGTATTTAGAGCACCTCTCAGCAGGGAGGAAGGCAATGCAAAATAAATGAGATAAGACTTCTCAAGTCCCAGGTCAAATATCTCACCAGTCAGGTGACCACTGGGCCTTTTGTATGAAATCTCTGCCAAGTAGTACTCTATTGAGCTGTGTCAACATCCATGTATTTGTGTGTCTCTTCTACCACCAAAGTGAGCTACTTGAACTAGGGCCATGTGTCCATGTCATGGTCTTCCTAGTGCCCCGCTGTGCACCCATTGTTAAATTGAACTGAAATACTGTGGTAGAAATAGGCATCTTGTGCTTTGGATTACAAAGGCATTTGATCTCTGCTGGCAGAAGGAAGAGTGGAATCAAGGAAACTCAGAAGAAGGGAGAACTGGGCTCAACCTTTAGGAATAAAAATTAATTAGCCAGACAAAGAGGGTGATTCTTCCAGGCCAAGTAAACACATATATAAAGGAATGGCGGTAGGAATGGCAATAAGAAAGAGCAAAGCATGTTCAAGAAGCTGGAAGCAGTTGGTCATTTCTGGGCATAGCTATGTGATGATGATGAAGAGACCAAAATAGGGAATTAGGACCTAAGTCATGGCGGGTTCTGTATGTTCTTCTCAGAGGTTTAAGTTGTATCATGTTCAGTAGAGGAATTTTCAACTATTCACACTGATACCAG